CAATATTTATTTCATTCATTACTAGGTCGAATAACAGTGGCTTAGCAAATCTCCATGTTGGACCCTCTATTTACTGGTACCTTTCTAAAAAGTTTGCCATGAGATTTCTTTCTAATAAAATTACTTACATGTATATCCTTAATTAAAATGAAAACTGTGTTTGGTGCAATGTTATATTCTAAAATGTCCAACACTGTATTTAATTCTAAACTGTCAGATGATTTTTCTAAATCAATAAAGCAAAAATATGCTAGTCTGTTAAACATCACCATGACCTGCATACACCATAAAGTCCTTCGTTACATTATGTTAACACAAATTCAAGTTGATCAAGTTTTGAAAGTATGGACGTGAATAAACTATGAAAATACAGATGTCTCACAGCATAGCTGTTCCTTCTGCTTAACATGTGATGATCACTTTGACAATGCAATAGCCACGAAGTCTAGCACTGCTGATAAACTGGGAAAGATAAAGGTAGTCTGTTCAATAATAAAATACTGCTATCCTTTAAGAGCCTAGAGACACCGTAGGGAGACCTTTAAAGTGTAGCTGAGTGGCTGTGCGACACCGCATGAGTATGCGCAGTCCACACGTGAGCAGTGTTTTAAAATCTAATTCTAAGATAGAAATTCCTGTTCTACTTACATTACTTTTGGGCATCAGCTTTATAAGTAGAGTCTTCCTTCCTGGGTCATCTAACTGAATGCAGAGTCCGACATCACAATTCATGCACTTTGTCTGGATGTAACTCCATTTCTCATGCGAAGAGCATACACGACACCTCAGTCTTGTATTATAGGAAGTCGGCCAGTGATGTTGAGTGGCCTCCTCTAATTGTAAATCGCAATTTCAACTATCCACCATGGCCTCATTTCACATGGAAGAAGCCGAAATTGAGAGGCAGCTGATAAATGACCCCAATTCAGACTCCAGTACAGACAACTCTGAAAGTGGCGAGGAAGCAAGGGGCTAGGCTTGAACGTTCTAGCAATGCGGGGCTATTCCAAGAACAGTACCTCTGTGTGGCTAGTCCGAGATATACACAGTCAAAAAGTTTCTGAAGGACAAAGTACGATAAGACTTCAACCACACTCGTGCATACAGAAAGGTTCCGACGTGACTGAAGAATGTGCAATACAAACATAATCTTCCACCCCTTTTGCCAGATAAGACACAGTAAGACAGGATGTAAGCAGCATGCATTTATACTGCAGACATGTTTTGTGCAGAAACTGTATGCATATTTGTGGACAGACGCTCGAAATTGGGAAATTTTTTTTTGAATCAGTGTAACAATTTTTACAGATTTTAAAATCTGTAAATTACAATATCTGATTCTATACCCTTTCTAGATAAAAGCAGCATTTACTTCGTTCGTTTATCGCAAAAATTGTAGAAATCACAGCATTTTCAGTAACATGGTTACAATTTTTAATACTTTACAATGGCGGGCATTTAACTTAACTCTGGCCTGCTGCCATTACCGGAATTTAAATGGCCCGTCTCTTAAAGGCTATTCACATGGAGATACTGAAGAAACCCGAACAAATCAGAATAACCAATCTTCTTATGAAGATTCAAACCATGCACATGTCTAATACAGGTTTCAGAAAGAGTAGTGAAGAACACCACGGTTTACTCTGACTTCTGTAAGCAAAATTCTGTTGAGTGACACTGCCAACAGCATAGTGCAAACACTGACCTCACGCCAATTGGGCTTGCTGCCAGCTGCCTGCCGATTCTGGTACCATGTCCAGATCTCTAGGTCAACCTCCCTGTCAATATCAGAACGCCCTGGGCCAATCCTTTTCACTGCCTCTGCTTCCAACTCCATCACTTGTTTCAAAGATTCATCTGCTGCATTTACAGGACCTACCAAAGAAACTTACCATATTAATCTGACTATTAAAAGTTAGCATTAAGACAAGTCCCTTGACAATGTACAATTTTTTAGAAAATTTGTTCTGTTATTTGTCCAGGTGAAATTCTTATGTGTAAATCATTTGGTACAAACAAAATTCCCTTTTTTTTACTTTCATGTCTTCATAATGATCCACTTTAGATTTACAGTGATCTTTTGTTAAAATATTCATACTGTAGTCTTTCCTCCATAACAGTACAGTAACCTCAGAAACAGCGTATTTTCTGCATGCCATATAATTAAAACAGAATTCCAGATGACCAGTACTTTGAATCTGGCATTACGTGCAGTTCGAAATAATGGAAAAATCTCAATAAGAAGAGCTTCACTTTCTTCCACAGTGTCCCAAGACCACAGCATATGTGCATATAGTAAACACTTAAAATAATAAAATTCTTAAAAAAAAGTATGATCAATTGCATATGTATATGTCCAGTATTACAATTTGTAAACCATACATTAAATTTTTTTTTCTAACAGTTACCACAACAAACACTGTGCATGTAGAAACTAAGCAACATCTGGCAATGCTGGCACACCCTGAAACTTCAGTATTCAGCATACTTGACTGTAAGAATATTTCCAAAGAACATATTCAAGCAAAGCAGTAGCTGAATTCTTGTCTGGTGGAAATATCATCGTTATGAAACATACATAAAAATCAGCTATTGGTTCAGAAACACAGAACCAGCAAAACTGCATACAAGTACAGCAGTAACAGTAATAAAAATTGAATACCTACAATTTTCAAAACATTTTCATATCAGTAAAATGCTTTCTGGATTCACAAGTTTTGTGCCATTCCACAACTGTCAAATACTTATTTTCCCAGAAACAACTGGATCATGTCTACTTTTAATGTAATCACCTTCATTCAGAAACATAAAATTACTCTATGTCTTTAATAAATTAAAGCGCATCTTACAATCAAATATGATAACCACTTACAGTAAACCCTCACTAATCTGTGATAACTCAAAGGACAGATCATCTGGATCAAGCAATAATCAGGATTAGTGAAGCAAAACGCAGCCCGAAAGGACAAAAAAACTTGGAACACAAATAAATGGAAAACATAATGATAATAGTACTGCTGATAAAAATAAATAAAAAATGTCTCTGAAGACCCTTTATTCAAAACCTACAGAAAGACAACACATTTGACAGAACACTCAGAAGTTGTACTTGTCTGGAAAGTAAAAATACAGGCTTCAAGAGACTGCCAAGTTTTGCCTGAACAGATAAATAACTCATCTGCCTTCCTAAAAGTCATGTGTCTTTTAAAGTAAGTACTCAACTGTGAACAGTGTCTTTCATTTTTCATATTTCAACCCAAATTATTCGACATCCAGATTAACTGTAATCAGATTAGCGAGGGTTTACTGTACTCTTTCCTAACACTCTACATTAGTCATTGTCAAGTTTCCTGGAATGTCTATTCAATGAATTTTAGCTCCAATCATTGCAAGCAAGACTTAGCAGTGTTCCTCGCCACTTTACAAAAATTCTTGAAACAACTACCTTACAATTAAAGACATATTGTATTTATACAATCATACAATGATCCCAATACTGAAAACTTAAAACAGTAAAATACAATTTTAAAATGCTAATTCAGATTTCTTTTCTGGTCATTATTTAAACCTTTGCTTATTCTACTTAAATCTATAGTGTATGGTGCTGTCATTCAAGTTACTGAAACATTAAATCAGATCTTACTATAGTTTACTAAATATTTTCAACTTTACTACAGTCTACTAAGAGGAGCAAAGGGTTAATACAGCCTCACTTTAGGGTCACTTCGACCCTCTGTCATAGAATAACAGCAATTGAGCTGCGGAGACACAAGAAACAACTTACAAATTTGGGAAAAATGTAAGTGGTACACATGTAAATATGGTATACCTTTAGCAAAATTTGTTTTGCTGAGCTGTAACCACTCAAACACTCTCTTTCGAGAAACATTAAATGTGCGAGCAGCCACTATTTGACTGTGGTGCTCTGCAAATATTGCAACTTCCACCTTGAAGGCAAGAGGATACTGGATATGCCTCTCCTGCTTCCGTTTCACCTTCTCGAAGCCATCTTCATACACCTGCTGCTCGTCGAATCTAGTAACATAAGCATGCATTAATGAATTTATCGAGCCACTGTCACAAATATGTGAGTTTCTGACAATACTTTTCACAGTATGATCTAACTTCTTTAACTGCATTAAACACAAACCAATTACTAACAGTCTTCCATGAAAAGTTTATACTAGTAGTTACTCAGCCAGACAAGAAATTCTCTATTTATATAAAAAACCAAAGGTTCATCCATGTGTTTACAAAAGCCTGCCATTAGATCATATCCCAAGTCAGCTGGAACTGGTCCAAACCTTTACATCTTATCCCTCAGAGATCGACTTAAATAATACTCTTGCATCTTCACACATGGTCTCGTCTTTTAAGGTTTCCTCATACAAATTTCTGATTTCTTGACTAGCTGACTATCAACTTTTTCATGAGAGACTGTACACCATGAAGTATCTGTATAAACGAATATTTCTTGTAAATACAGCAGTTTTATGTCCCACTTCATAAAGATATACAATAGTAAATTTTTCCACTCATACAGTAATTCTTTCTAACTCCAAGCAGAAAAAGTGCATGAAACTCTGCATGCAATGTTCAACTGCTTGGGTGAATTAATTCGGCTTTAATTAAACTGATAAATGGAAATTTGAGATCTCTGAGTTAAATGGTGATTTCAAATTCATCAAAAATTGGTTCTGGGACTATTGGTTTGACAATATATATCTGAACCATACAAATCCAGTGCCTGCATGAATAATTTGCAGTTTTATTATATAATTCTCCTATTTACACAGATAAGAAAACCAAGGTACATATCATGAATATTATCCCACACCAGTAGTTACCACAGATCCATATACTGAATCCAGCTCTACACAGTGCAAAGCCTCTGATCCAGCAGCGGTGGCAGCAATGACGATAATGAAAGTACCCATCATAAGTTCTCACCTGCTGACCCATAATTTGAACCACTGGCAACTATCTGTTGTGTCCTGACCAGCAATCTGTCTGGCTTTCTCCTTCAATTCTACTGCTGTTAGCTCATGGCCCTGCTCCCGACACCAGCGCAGCCAGCTAAAGAACTGCTGGTCCACTGGACAAACTGGAGGTACCTCCACTTTCTTCTTCTCATCATCTTGGCCATGTGAGGAATTGGAATTCTGAAATGTCATCTCTGTAAAACATTATGTTGTATTCCATACAAGATAAGTTTAATTACACCATCAATAACCATATAAATCATGACGTAAAAACTAATGTGTCAGTGTGAGTGTCCCCCCAGACTAAGAATTGTACAGAATAATTGGAGCATTAATGAGCATCAGAAACTTGACATGCACATTAAACCACAATTTTCTTTTCAATAATAATCCATGTGCTTCTAAAGTTGTATCTCATGGTCCTCTGACTATATAGGGTTTTCTTTTAAAGGAGTCTACCATTCAGGCCCACATATGACTAGCACACTCATAACAAAATGGAACCCGAATTACAGGACACTGAAAAATAAAGTGAATTTCTGTTACTTATTGTTTCAGATACTAACTCAATTATGTCAAAAAAAAATGGAGAAAAATGCAAGAAAATGTAGTACTTCAGACGCTACAGCACTAATTTTTTGTGATGTCAGTCCAAATAAATCAGTAAGGTTGANTTCGCTTTAGTGGTTCTCTCTTGTGTCCTTCGCATTCTTTATCTCTCCTGCACCTGCCCAATCATGCCACCAGACATAAATACAACATTCACACACTTATTTCCATCTTTAATGTGACTCTATTTACAATTACTCCTTAACTTAAAATAATATTAAACTTAAGAGTAAACTGCTACATGTTTCAGCCATATTTGGCCATCCTCAGGCAAGTGTTCACTTGTTGAAATTGCTACACTGCATTAGTTCTTAAGTTAAAATATTTGAATGTTATTCTGTTTTCATTTTTCACACATCAAAATACATTTGCTTGAAAACAATCTTCATCTTTACCTGTGCTACTTCCTTCTTGAGCCATACATGTTTTCTATAATGTATAATATATTCATGATTTATGTTATTGTTAAATTCTACAAATTTTTAATTTTGGTAGCTGTTCTAATATTACTATGTTGACTATTGAACTTAATAGAGATATGAGAATATGTTCCTTTGATATAGAAAACATGTACACTAATATACTAAAAAAAAAGACACTATAAACATAATTAAAAATATACTAGAAAGCAACCCAGAAATTAACATGAATATATAGAAAGGAATAATACACATATTGTGAACACTGGCGGAACAAAACTACTTCCAATTCGACCAGCAATATTGTAAACAAACCAAAAGGTTTGCCATGGGTGCTCCAACATCATCAATATTAGCTGAAACATATGTATATACAGCACATGGAACATAAACACACATGCATTAAAGATGGAAGTAAGTGTGCAAAGTGATACATCAATACAACAAGATGTTCAGATACAATATTATAAATACAAACTAGTGAGAGAGTTCTGGTAATCCCAGATACATAAAGTTATACATACCCTTCTGGGTATATTAACAAATGCCAACTTTGATGAAAGTTATCAACAATGGATTACTTTCAGATCATAACCAACCATCTGGTTGGTAGTAATATGCCTGTGATAAAGGTTAAATTAAGTTAGATTAATATACTTTACCTTCATTACTACTTTTCATGTCTAAGAAAGAATATATAATTCATTTTCAGCATCACAAATATACAAATATAAGGATGGAAGTAGGGAGGAATGTGGTGGGCATAGTGCTTCCTGTGGCCTTCCATCATTTGATGACAAGCAGAGACACAGAATTACCTACTAGAAAATGCCAAGGCTGATTGGGGCAAATGCAGTTTCAGACAACCCAATAATATTTTCCTCAATGACGTTCAAACAAGAATACATTATTTGAAAGCCAACTCTTTCCTCTAAATATCAGCATGTCATATTCATGTAATCTGCTGACATAAATGCTGTATTAAATGATTAATAACAAGCCAGTCTCTCTGGCTGTGGTGGTTTTAATGCATGTCTCTTTTGCTGATATAACCAGTGTGTGGCATGCGAAGAGTTAAACAAATTCCCATCATCAAGACTGGTCTTGCATTATAGACAGATTTGATACAGAGTATCTATTCAAGAAATCCTGGACTATATGGTACATGATGACAGACCTCAGAAGCATAGCTAGAACACAAACCTGTGCCAACTGCTTCTTCCAGTTCTTTTCTTTCTTCCAAGATGATATTGTGCCATCATTCACTTTAAATTTCTTGGCTGTCTCCCTCAGTGTGTGGCTTGCTGCATATGACAGAACCTTCACCTTGAAGTGGGGTAGGTATCTCTCCCCCTTCTTATGCTGATGCACACCAGATTTCTTGCTCCTCTTTGAGCTTGACTCCTGTATGTCATGTCTGCCATTGACATCCACTGCCTGTCCTGCCTTGGGTGCATGACACTCCAACACAACTTCTGGTGCAAGAACATGACTAACTACTGATGCCAGCACACCAGACTGTGTATTCAGAGTTGATCCACTATTGCAGTTCTCTTCTTTTCCATTAGTGTTCAAACCCACATCTTTAAATACTGAATTAACAAAGCCTTCACTATCCTCAGATGAACAAGTTGAAATTACATTTTCACTGTCATGGATATTACTGAAAGCCAAATTATTTAATAAACTTGGTGAACTACTGTTTTGTGATGAAATTAAACCTACTATATCTTTTAGTTTTTCAGCTGCAGCTGTCATAGGAATGCCACAAGAATCAGTGTGATGCAATTCAAATGGAAAATTAGATATGTTCGATAAAGTTTCATTTTCACAATCTGTAAGCACATGGTGCTGTAATGAAAGTTCACAGGATGGTGGGTAGTACAGACAATCCATACTGGCATCCATATCAGATGTTGTAAATACATTATCTATACTTTCAGAATTTGTACTCCCATTTTCATTACTGTAAGATAATTTGTTCTGTAAATTACCCTGAAAATTATGCATTATTTCAGGTGGCAAATAGTCTACAATGTTCAACATTGGGGTAGACAACATTGCTGTGGAGCTATCATCAAGATGAGGTTCCACATTTGAGCCATTATTTGCAACAATGTGTGCACATGGTTCAGTAAAACTAGTTCTTTTACAGCTATCTTTACTATTTCCGCCACTGCTGGATTCACTACTTGTCACATCTGAAAAACACGAATACTTTGAAGGTATTTTGGGACATGAAGGTCCAGAATATTTTATTTCCTTAAGTTCTTCATTTGCCTGCTCCATACAACCTTTGTCTTGCACTAATTCAAGAGCTTCATTTTGTAGCATGCTTTCACTTTTCCCTTCTATGATTTTAACCACATTAATCTCTCTATCATTCCTTTCTTTAATGTCCTCAGATGACACCAAGTCTTGAATCACATGACTGCCAGTAGCTGAGGAACTTGGAGATGACTCTCCAATGATCTGGCTAATTTTTGAGTCTTCATTAAAGCCAAACCTCCGCCAGCGGTTAATCCAACGTCGATACCAACCATCGCTTGCCTGAAATCAAGCATCATTATTTCCTCATATACTTGACAATATTGTTTCACCTGCTGGGAATATATTGTGAGATGAAAGTGGCACAGTGACTGGAATATGGCATCTCAAGGACTTGGGAAGAGGAGAAAATGGCCAGTTTTCAAGTACAAGCAGGTCATAAACAAGACAGAACTCAAAACAATGACAAAGAATATGAGTTACAATAGTCTGTCACCTATATGAGATTTGGTAAATGGGTCTTTAGCATACAAACAGAACAGCACCATAACAGTCAGCATATTCTAAGAGAACTCAATGCATTATATGATGGTAATAATGGACCCAGGCAATGAGTTGAGCTCATAACATCTAAGGATCAATCATATGTTTACTTGTACTGAAACAGAGTTTTTAAAAAACAACTGTATCTTATTCACTTTCAAAAACAGTAATTCTTCCACCTGTTCACATGTTTGTTAAGCATGGTCTCTTACTTTAAAGGACGGACATAAATAACAAGAAAAATCTAGGAAAACATACGATCCAAAAATGAAATAATTAGGACACACAGTAATTTTTCTTCTTATATTGCACATTCACCAAAAATAATAGTGGTACATACTACAAAGTCAGTAAAACTTGAACATATTAAAAAATGCAGCCTTCAGAGGAAGAGGTTCAAATTGAATTATCTGGCTGAGCAAAAACATAACATGAGACACTGGAGTGAAGCTAGTAATCAAGAACTGCACATGAAATCACTTCACAGTCAAAGAGTAAAGGTGTGGTGCAGGATATCTGCATTCAGCATCAAATCAGCATTAAATGAAAATGGCAATGCAGTTACTGTGATATGCAACTGATATGTGTATACTCAACAAATTTTTGTTTCCACAATAACACCTCATGGCAGTGTCAATCACACAATCTGATTTCAAAAAAATGGCATGACTTCACATACTGCACAGCAATCCATGAACACTTTAAGAACAGTGTTTGGAAATCCAGTAATTTCCCATTTTGGGGACTTTTTGGACAGCCCATTTACTTGATCTGTCAGCTTGCAATTCCTATTTATGGGGTCACCTGAAGAGCAAGGTGACTGTAACGCATCCAGCAAACTTAAACAAAATAAAGGGTCAAATTATGGAAGGACCTAATGCTATACCACTAACTATGCTGTTGCACATAATGCATAACACTGTGAATTGAGTGGTGCAGTGCATCCACCTTGCCGGAAGGCATTTTGTGTGTGTTATCTTTAAGAAATATGTTTGTCATAATGTTACTTAATAATGGAAAACATATACTTTTTAATTCTTATTAGTTAGAATCAGTTTAAGCAAAGTTTGGCTGACTAGTGTGTCTTCAAAAATGATGAGTCCATGCTGTCCTAGCCTGTATTTCCAAATAGTTACAAGTACTTCATTAGTTAGTTAGTTAGTATGCCAGTGAAGGCTGTCCCATTGCTCAGGCGGTTAGTCACCAGCTTCCCACCATGGTGGCCTGGGTTCGAGTCCAGGTCAGATGATGTGGGATATGTGATGGACGAAGTGGCACTGATGTAGGTTTTCTATGAGTATTCTGGTTTCCCCTATTGATTCTCATTCCACTGATTTCTCCACACTCATCCATCACCCGGGGCTGGTGCAATAGGCCACATAGTGACCAACGTACTAAGCGGACTCAGTCTCTCTCCAACCAATGAAAAAAAAAAACTAGCATGTCAGTGAGTGAGTGAGTGAGTGAGTCAGAGTGTAACTGTAACTTTTCTAATTGTTTTTGTCTTCATATTAGAATGGAACCCCAAATTAAGGTTCCTGTGAGCAGTGGATCTGAACATACAGCATATTGAAGAAAATCTTAAATGGAGAAAATTTGCAAATAAGATTACTGACTTGGGATCACTGAAAACTGAATGTTAAATGAGAGATGTCTGTACTTAATATTCATGCTAACAGCACAATTCTTTGTTTACTTGTAACATCATTATTTATTAGATTCTTTAGATATGCTTTTACTCTATAATTGACAATGTTAATATGTATTTTATTATGATAATAATTTGCAATGCAAGTGTCATATGCATGCTGTATTTAATTATAACATTGTATCAATCATTGTATCAATAGTTACTGCAACAATGGTTGTAAATATGTTGTACTATCTTTATGATGTCCTCTGGATTAATTATTGTAACCTGGGCTTTGACGTGTTCTATATCTGGAGGCATTATAGCCAAATGTAGATCTGATGAACAAAAATAAATTGAAATTGAAATTATTTTGAGGCCACTCAGATGTCAGTAAATCTGGACTCTAACCTTTTATGGGTCACATATTTTATTCTCTTTCCGAATGTAATATTTTTTTCACGAATACCACAATGTTGTGCATGATGGCTAGATGCTGAGTATTCTGACTGTCCTCTCTCCAAGGATAATCCTCAATCACTTTTCAATATGGGCATATGCAACCAGAAACACAAAGAACGATCAAAATAATGACCATCATTCCTAAAATCATTATCCAGTGAGAGCTTTTAGTGTTTGCTTAAGCCGCACAATAAATGTCTCGCATTAATCATTTTATCCACGAATAAAAAATCCTTTCCTATAAAAAGAACCTTTACTTTTAATTCTTTTCTTTTTATAATGTACCATTCAGGAGGAGCTCGATTTTACCCTTTTCCAAAATTTTAAGCCATACTGACTTCTGCATTATATTTATAGTCATACTAAATACAGCAATAAATGCCTGGCTTGTTACTCTCACAAAACTAATAATATACCAACAATGTTATTGCTCGTTACAAATTCTAACATAACAAACTACATTATGCAATGTTCAACTTATATTGCTCCCCATTTTACCTTGAAATCTGTAATACCCGCCTGATGAAAGGCCCATTTTGCTCTTGCCTGTACCATGCTTTTTGACACCTTCTTGCCTTGCTGCTTAGACCGCGTCTCACAATACCACTGCCAAAGATCACGATCTACTGCACCACTTGCTGGTCGCAAACCACGGCAACACAGAACCGCTAACTGAGGGCCAAACAAATATTATTACATCAGCAGACTTGGTACATGCACTGAGGCTATAAAATACAGCACAATGGGGAACAAACCAGCATAAAGAGAACTGTAATGGCTTGGTCAAGTGCAAAAATTACTTTTCTATTTTTCCCAGGCTGCAAGCGCTACAAGTCTCACAAATCTTTGTGGGAACATCCCACATTATCACGCATTTCCGCAACGCTCGCTCTTCACATCGCTTTTCACCATCACGCGCGCTAACCAATCTGATTGCTTCAAACGTTCGTATTTATACTGGGATCGCTCCTGGCCCGCATCTACGTCATTACGCGCGCTAGCCAATCAATTCTTCCTCCTCACTTTCGAGTTTGGCTCCGCCCCACCGACCAGCATATAAAAAGGAGCGACTCCAAAGCCGAGTTATTCAGTTCAATTCAGTTCGACTGCAGTCTACGATCAAGCCACACATCAAGCAACTTCAACCAGCAGGCTTCGTCGCCAGTGCTCAGTCCCCGGAGACATCGGCAGGCTGCGCCAGGCACGACTGCCTCGGCCCTCCGGCGCTCTCACACCCGACTCACTGGGGCACCGCGCCTGGACTCGCCGGTGGTCGTGATACGGTCCGACTCACTGGGCATCTGGCGTAGCCACTGCCTCATGGCTCCTACGACTGCGCTCAACGACTAGCCTTTTCACCAGCCATTCCCGTAACTAGCCTTTCTCCTTACCGGCACGCGCCGCGCTACCTCACTGGTCAATCATCTCAGCAGCCACGGTCCTTTTCAGGGCCAACAAACTGTTCCGAAGAAGTGGGTTGTCATCGGAGGAGCCCCACACCTTAATGTTTTAAAATGGTTTTGTAATCCCTTGAAAGTCTGTCACAGTGAAAATTCCAAGAATAACCTGAGACCTGTGTTGGACTGGATGATAATTTAATACTCCTAGTACTTATAAAGGACAGAGAATCCATAACAAATGGAGGAAAACTACTATAAATACACCTGAAAGATCTGGAAATGAAGCAGCTCTCCTCAAGCTCAGAATGTGACATAAATAAACAACCTTCAAATTCAGCCGTCTCTTCCTTGAACAAGACTCTGGGGTTATTAGAAATAACCACTTTGGTTCAGAGTGTTGTCACATGTGAAGTATCATACGGAAAATTTCAAGAAAATCAAAGAAGCCATGAAAAAAATTCAATTTACCATATTCAACTGGTAGCAAAAAATCTGGTGAAGGTGAAATGATAGCAGAGTTTAAGAAAATATTTTACAACAGAAAGAGAAATTTAAAATATTACAATTTTTATGCTTCTTCCATTAAGCTGGTCAGTTATGAAAATCCAAGAAGACTTCAAAGTCCATGGTTCAGACTGCTAATGAATTAGTGGCTGAAACAAAATTACCAAGCCAAAATGTAAAAGCAAGAGAAGTGCTACGTCCAGCAACAGCTGAAATGGTGAAGCAGTTTTAAGTATCTGATGAAATCGGCAGGATCATGCCAGAGACAAAGATGTTTCTGTTATCTCAAAGGCAAGAATGTTCATCCTCAGATATGAATTATATTCTCTAACATCAATGAAGATTGTTTAGTTTTCAAAAACAGAATCTTGAGAAGGTGTTAGATTTTTCAATGTTTACAGAGTTATGGCCAAAAAACTGTGTGCTGCCTGCACTTTGTATGTGTACAAGTTGCTATCTACTAATCACTCTGCATGTTACAAAATTTAATTGAAATCCGAGGTGGTCATGTCAAATGATGCATAATTTTGACAGAAAAATGACAAGTGCAAGAGGAAAATAAAAATTTTGCACTCTCACAGATCAACCTTGCAGACAAATACAAATTCATTAGCTTTTACAAGCATTAATTACTGCAGTATCTCAAGACCTAACCTAATATTAATGCAAACAGCTAAAGTTTATGTACTACTTACAGCGAACAACTAACAACACTGAAACACACACATAATGACGAAACTGTTCTCCCTTTTATTACTTAGTACCTTAAAACCTAGTCTAATATTAGTATAGAAAGCTAAAATTCATATTGTGGTCTATTTCAAACAAATAAATGGTACTGTATAACAGTTCTGCACTACCTAGATGCGCCATAGCTCAAGCGGTTAGTCATTGGTTTCCCACTGCAGCAGCCTGGGTTCAAGCCCGGGTCTGGTCATGTGGGATTTGTGGTGGACAAAGTGGTGCTGAGGCAGGTTTTCTCCCAGTACTTCGGTTTCCCTCTCACCACTACTGCACTACCTCAAAATCTAACATACTATTCATGTAGAATCTTAATGGTACTGAGACACCAACAAACATATACTCACACTAATACTTTTGTTTTAAATTTCTTGCACTTAATACCCACTAATCACGATCCACTGTTTCATCAAAAAATGACACTAAACCTGTTCTTCTTCTGAACATGAACGTTTTTAATTATGAAAATATATATGTAGTGCCTCAAATTTGAGATTGGGGAGGGTAAGGCATTACCCAAAATGTTCGCGACTTGCGAAAAGCGTTTCGCAGTTATTACAGTAAATTGTAAACACAAGGACTGGCAAATAGGTTAAGAATGTGGATGCTCAGCAAGTCTGTGTACTCACAGAGCAAGAAGCTTGCCTCACTCGGTCACTGGAGTAATCGTAAGAGACCGCATACACAGCAATAAGACGCAAGGGGTCCGCCCACAACCACCCATGAGAACCAATGAGAATGTTACTATGAGGATTGAGGACACCAAGTAGGAGTACCTACCCTCTGTCGTCAACGCTGAATCAGCGAATTAAAACTATAAATTAGGGAATTTCGGGGGACTTGGATCATGTTCTAACACATAATATTCAGTTGTCAGCCGGAGGCGCTATTCAATATGGGTCTGACGAGTGCTGGAAGTTAGCCTGCATCTTGTACTACAAGTAAGTTTATTTACGCATAACAGCCATGCTGGTTAATAATATTGTTGTTTAATAGTATTGGTGATAACAGTGTTGTCGAGTTATTTTAATGTGCAAACTCCAGTGTACCCGGTGAGCCCTTAGGGTAGGATACTAGGATCATGTAATGGCCTAGGATATTAGTCAGGCAATAAGTGTCTTATAGTGTATGGTCAAGGATATGGTTAGCTTATAGTGATAGATAGAGTATGCGGGATTCAATACGTACAACCCAGGGTAGATTAAGTTAAGAGGGAGACTTTACGAGGGATAGGGTAATCATAGATAACGAGTAGTAAGAAATGTACGGGCAAAAGATTCATGTTAATGAAGAGGGCTTGCATGTCCTCATTAGATGAGTCAGAGGGAGAGAGAGAGAGAGAGAGAGAGCGAGGCTCAAGGCCTCCACCCCAAAAGGGGGAGAACTTAAAGAAACAGAACGTGTAGTAAAGACTCTATGTAGTCTAGACTGAAGGTCAGTCAATGTAAATATTGTAAATTATGTAAATACAAAAGTGTAAATAGATAGAATAGATAGAGTAGGATGTACCGGGGATTGTGATTCACCCTCCACAACCACCTTCCTCGAACCATCCAGAAGATCCTACCACAATGAGAGTTGCAACAGCAGCCGAACGCTTAAGAGGTGCTAAGAATAGACAGGGATAGGCTCCTGCCACACAGGCAGAGTATGGTAGCCTCGACATCAACGCCCCCTTAAGATATAAGTATAAAGTGTATTAATAATGTAACTCGCGGCTACCTGTAAACTATAGGAGGAGTGGTCAAGAAGGAGCCATGACTATAGATCAGGGAGTGGTGCCCACGATCGAAAGAACATATAAGAGATGGTGGCAGCTTTTCGCAGAGAAGGAAACCCCGAAATAAGAGAATCCTAGCTGAGGGTAAGCTAGGATTAGGGCGTTGACTCCTTACAGAGTAAGCTGGAGTGGCAAGGAGGGGTACCTGCACACTCCCGGCGTCACGACGATACGAGTGGTACCAGCGTCGCGACATTACAAGTGGAGGCGAGGAGGGGTACCTCCACGCCCCCCTACTTGCGGCGTTACAGTGGTGGCAGAGGCGGGCTGACTCCACGCCCCCCTGCACCAAGGCATTACAATATAAAATAATACTGCAGTCAAACTTGCGATAAATAAATCATTTATACCTTTTTATCCACAGAATCTCTGCTAGGAACAGACTTCATTGAAGTGTCTCCACAACCACCTACTTTGTTATTGTGTTCCTTTTCGTTGCTTAACTCGTCGTGTAGGCTGTATTGCTTGAGATCGTGTTGCCTCCAAAGTCTATGTTCATCCATTGACAAGGTTTCCTGTTATTTGAGCTACAAAAAAAAACTGGAAGACATCGAATGTTCAATAGAAACCACCGACACTCCTGTACTTCACTTCGAACATATTACACTTTGTCCAGCAACATAACCTAAACGACCTAAACGGTGCAGATGCCCAGCATCAAGACCGATCAAGACCATCAAGGCCCTTAATAAATAAGGTAGGTGAAGATCTGTAACGCAAATTACTGCCAAATAACTAACATCCGATCCGAGATAGTCACTGCAGTGAATATTAATGCAGTCTACAGAACTACTTCAATTTTCTCAGAACATACACAACAATAATAATCAACACGGTCGAAAAAAAGCATGTTTTACATGATAACGCTCGTAGCAAACACATGACTTGCGACGATACGGCAAATTAGTACGGTTTCGAAAGGCTGAACTAAACACACAATCTGATAACATTCCATTATAAAAACTGAGCACATTACTATTCCGTACTGTTTCTGTACTCTGAGGATGGAGGCAGTACGTCCCTTCGCAGAATATAATCTTACCAGTCACGGCCGCGAGCGCCGCGAGGGCCGCGAGCCCCAGAGTTCAAGAGAGTTTACATGGTTCCTTACGGAGATAAAATACATATTGTAAGATTTGAGGCTTTCACGGCGTTCAGGGCGGTGACTATGAAGAAAGCAGTCTTCTGGGATTTGGCACCGTGTATATGTGGGGTTAACCGACGTTTCGGAGGAACGTATCGCCTCCATCTTCAGGGTAGAAGGGAAAATATAAGAAATCCGCAAGCGACGAGACCGTGAGAACCGGTAAAAGCAGTAAGGACTGCTTTCTTCAAAATACATATTACTTTCACAACATAATAGAACTAAGCCAATGTGCAGAAGACTTCAAGTGCGTTCAAGCGTGAATTGACCGGCATTGATCCGTAGTTCAGGGGCTTCAAGGGTTCGGGATGTACGCGGTTCGACCCTTGGTTAGTCCCTGTCGTCCCTGTCGGGGTTAGAGCGGTTAAAGTATAAAATCAGGTCAGAAGGGATCATGATCATAATGTCATGTAGTCTGTGGCTGGAAAGGTTCCGCATAAATACTTACCATGGCGATGCTTATATTATTATTTGATTCATTAGAAGTGTAAATGGTGACACGTATTTCAACAAAGTGAAATACGATTTGTCAACACTGGAATGCGTACAAACGGCAATCCATCAGTATAGTATAGGTTATGTGTATTAACAGTATCGTGAAGTAATGTGTATAGCTGGTTTGTGTGCGAACTAGGTTGTGGTTGTTATTACCGGTTATTACGAATCACGTGTTAAATATATGACAAAGAATCGCATACTTATCTGTGCACAGAATGGATCTGACCCACGTTCAACGAGTTAGATTGCTTTATAAAACTATTCTTCACTTGCATCGAGGCCTCCCTACAGAATTACAAGTGATGGGAAACAGTTACGCACGAGACGAATTCAAAAGACACAAATCATGTAATATTGCTGAAGCATCTGTTTTCATGGTAGAATGGACTGTAGGTGTTTTGACAATATATTTGAGGTTATGTGGGGTTATAGATTAAAATTAACCTATGATCAGTTTTCTGGACATTAACCGTCATCCGAATCTTCATTTTGAAGACTTGACGCCCATCAGATAACAAGCCTATTGTGTTGGGCGCAATTGTTTAGCGAACCCTTTTCTATGGATACCAGAAGTCGTGAGACTGAAACTAACTCTATTATTTGAGGCCACCAGAGTGGGCGTTTTACCCAAGGGCAGAGATCAGTCTCTGAATCGTTTCAAATAAAAATTAGGTTGATGGATAATGCCCAGATGATTATTATATTAATATATCACAAAATTTTAGCCCTTACTGTAATTTTACATTTGGAAACATATCTGAAGTGAACAGTTAAAAAAAAAAAAGAATTGAGTGGTTTAAGTCAACTATGAATCCACAAGCTGTGGTGTTGATTTTATACAGGCTTTGGCCAAGTTGTGCAACTACCCTCATCAGATTAGCTCTGCACTGACTGTTGAACAGTGGACATAAATAAAGTGTACACATATTCATTATCTGGCACTCATAAATTGGTGAAAACACAATTATGTGACTCATTAAATATTCAGTTCCTTGCAAGTTGATTTTGGCATTGGCATTGTCAAGCATCAACTGAATTCTTTTGGCTCCCATTTAAAAATATGCTGTTGAGAACCCAAAACATAATTTGTAGCTGTAGATTTTAAGGACATCCAGCACATTAAAAAGATGTTTGCCAGTATTCTCCCACTTGGTTTTAGCCTCATGATAAGCTTACTGATATGCATGCTGGCCAAAGCACTGATTGACACCTATATGATACATAAAACAGAAGGCACACTAATTGAAGTCCTCTGGCCACAAAGAACATGAGTTTTTTGAGAGGAACATTTCAGCTGCTTGTCAGAAATTCACTGAGTACTGTATTGCTAGAAAGGATTCTTATGTCAACAGTATCTATGTTTCTGGTAATGGATCATGAAACTGCAACTTCATGTGGACATAATCTTGTGCACTGTACATGTTTTTTTCATTAGTGACAATTCCATTTCCTCCAAATGATGGCTAAGGAATGTGACTCAAATATAAAACATCAAGTGCCAACACACTAGGTATCATAAATGAAAACTTCCTATTGCACATTAAAAATAAGTCAGTCAAGTAGTTATACAATTATTATTTCTATTATTGAAAGTCACTCTCATGTTCATTTAATGCTGAAATCAAGAACACGTGGAGGTATAGCCACCCACTTCCCATATATCTTCATGGCAAGATGCTGAATTATGCATAAGGTTATCTCTTCATATTACTAATATGGGACTCAGTTAAGCAAAGGAACAAATTTACCATGCTCTTTGGTCTAGTATAGAAGTAAAGAATTTACTTGGGAACAGATGCCATTTGATCTGTAATTTTAAGAGAAAATTTTGTTTCCAGGTTGATGTTCATATTTGAATATGTAATTACACTACAGCATTGCTGGATACCCTAGACAAAATCCTACAGTTTTGCAGAACACAGTTTATGGATCACTATAGAGATCTAATACGAGTTGCTTTAAACTCCTGGTTATCCAGTATCCAAGCACCCAGAATTCTCATCCAACTGGCAAAAATTTCAAAGCAAATTTACCAGTTTTATAAGATTACTCAAGAACAATTTGTGATGCTCATATGTTCACCCACTATATGATAGTTAGAGTTACCCAACATCACATAGGTGCCATTACAGTAGAAGCTTGTGATCATGTTACAGAATATGTATCAAATTTCTCACCACTCAGTTTACTGCGTTGCTTACGAAGATTCCCATGCAGGAACTAAAGAGAAAATATTTTGTTCTGACTTTGTATTGGGGTTTCTGTAAGTTTTCTCTTGGCAGAATCATGTAACCCTCACACCCATACATGTTGCATGAAGTAAAAGTGACAGGCTCTTATGAATACTGTAATGAACCTTCAGGTTCTGTACTCATGTAATGCTAGAAATTTTTTGAGTGGCTGAGCAACTGCTATTCAGCCTCGTGATTATAATTGAAGAGCTATTTCAAGGAAATAGCGGCACCGGTCTATAAAACCGAAATTAACAGCCATGGGGATTTGTTGCACTGACGATGCGACACCCTCTATCTGCAAAAAGTTGGCACTAACTTCGCCGACAAGCAGCGGTTGCTCTGTCAGTATAGTTTACTTGTGGGCTACAGGCCACGGAGTTTGTTTTGAGCAACTACTAGCTTTTCAAGACTGACTCAGCTTTATGTAATTAGTTAATCAGTATTACTCTTCAGTTCATAATCTCAGGCCAGTTCATCACATACTTGTGCCCTAGTGCATTTATCTGAAAAGGATAATTTAATATTTAGTGTGATTCAGTGTTCTGAAGTTTTACTGTGTGTATTCTAGGCATTATTAAAATGGAGGTTAAAGAAATAGGATGAAGGATGTGCACTGAATTCATCTGGGTCAGATTAGGGTGGCAAACGTGAATTATAAACATGTTAATGAACATTTGGGTTCTACAGGATGATTCACTTGAAGGAAGCCCCAAATTAATAATTAGAAATCACGCAGTAGTTTACCAAAGAAAATTAAACTTGACAATTAAACACTTTAGTAGCTGTGGAGATAACTGTTTTATAGAAGATGTTGAAATTGGTTTCTCTCAGCCTCGAGAGACAAGCTGACATGCTCTATGTTTGTATACATTTTTTCACAGCTCAACATGTGAAATTAGGATAAGAGATGTTAAAATCTTCCTGGGATATCAGCTGCATCAGTTAGTGAAAACTTACAAACATTTCAGGGACCATCTCTGTCCCCATCAGGGTCTGCTGTGACATAAGCCTGTGGACATGAGCCAAGAGAATTTTAGTGGGCAGTCATAAATCTGTCTTGGTTCTGTCCCTGGATTGGTTTGTCTCGGTACTGTTTTATCATATTGGTCACTGGGTACCAGGACCAACTGAGACTGAAACCTCCATCCCTGTTGAAGTTTTTTGGGGCAGAGCCTAATCTTGATGGCTACCTTTACTAAATGGTCCATGTAGCCTGGAGCTTTACCCAGTATGGTTGTAGTGCCAAATTCAGTGTTGTGGTATGTTTCAAATTTATGTTCTGCCACTGATGATTTTTCTGGCTGACTTAGCCATATGTGCCTCATATGCTCCTTACACGTCTCAGTGATTCCGCCTGTCTGCCAAACATATACTCTTCTGGATTCACATGGGATGCAGTATATCCCAACAATGCTGTGTTTGGAGATCAGCCTGCTGATTTCGCTGGAGACAGCTTCTATCTAGTTCCTCCTCTTACCTCTTTTGCTCTTACTGAAGGTAGATGTTGTACTGCTCAATCCACATTGCTGATGGAGTCCTTTATGTTGGACCTTGTATTTAAGGTATGAGCGAACTTTAAACGTCCTCCTAACTACTTATTTTCTTTACAATCGCTCACTGTATGATCAAAGAGATGGTGTAACCATAGGATCGCCCCTCTATCCTATAATAGTCATCTTCTACATGGAGTCCTTTGAACAGCAAGCCATTAGCTCAACGGCCAAGAAGTCAACATACTAGTACAGATGTGGATATGACACAATTGTTGTTTGGACACATGGAAAGGAAGAGCTTCAGGATTTCCTCCAGCATCTTGACAGTGTCCACAGCACCATAATGTTCACTGTGGAAGTGGAACAAAATGAGACACTGTATTTCCTAAACGTCCTGGTGAGCAGAAGACCAAATAGCTCACTGGGACATATTATATGTAGTGAAACCTCATTCTATCACTCCCGGATATATCGCTTTCCCAGATCCATAGTTCAATTTCTATGCTCCCTGAACAAATCCTATATAAACTATGGTTAATAAAACCCGCATTAGTCGTTCAATTTATCGTTTTCCCACATCTGTTGGCCAGAATTTTTAGTCCTGAAGAATGCTAATCCAGATTGATCATTTTAAGAAAGAGCAACACATACACACACACTCGCGCGCACTAGTATGCATCAGTAGTAGTAACAGTGATTCATGTTTTTGGAACATGGTGTATCAAGTTGCAGTTTTGGCTCACACATATGGATGTCTAGCTTCATGTAAGGACTGAGCACCATGTATCACAGAAATGTGTTGTACTAAATGCTCTCATCCAACAGGCCAAGACCATATGCTATAAGGATAGCCTGGACTTGGAGATCAGCCACCTAAAAGGGGCATTAATATAATGGACACACCAACCTTAGGATCATGCATGCGCTTGCCCCAAAACAAAGACCTCAAACGTCAAAAGGAAGCCAGTAGGCATAGCCATAATGCCATACCAACAAGCTGTCTCCAACAACTCAGCAGAGTACTCCAAACAACATTCAGGCAATTCACACAGCTGTAAATAAAAACATCCATATGGTCAGACCTACAAAGGAAAAGCTAGGCCTAAAAGTCACTGGGATATACTGCATCCCATGTGATAGCAGAAAAATATATGTTTGTCAACAGGCAGAACCAGTGAGATAATGTGTACAGAGTATATGAGGCACATGTCTTGGCCAGCCAGAGATATTGGCAAAGGCAGAGCATAAATTTTAAACATTTCACAACACTGACTTTGGCAGTATCACCATACTAGATAAAGCCCCACCCCAAAAACTTCAATAGAGACAGAGGCTGTCAGTCTCTGTCAGCCCTGGCACCCAGTGATTAATATAATAAAGCAGGACCAATGCAAACAAATTATGACTCTGCCTTCTAGCATTCCATTGGCTCTTGTTCCACTCCAATCATGGGCCATGAGCTGATATATGGATGGGACAGTCCAAATCTTACACAACATCAGATCCTGATGATGGGGATAGAGGTGGTCCCTGAAATGTTTATAATTTTTTACCAGCTTACATGGCTGATAGCCCAAGAAGGTTATCAGCTTTAGCCACCATGAAAGCTTAAGGTTTTAGATGGATTGAAGGAAATGGGGAAAACTTGGAAGGCAGGTAATATATAGTTGCCAAGTTTCAGATTGGAAAATTAATTCATCATTTGTAATTATTAATTTGGGGCCACTTCTGAGTTAATTGCTCTGTATAGAGGCCAGGAATTTTGAGATTACCTGACTGATTACCACTTAAGAAGGATTCTGCTTCATGGACTCAGTACCACCTAACATATCAGAGGTTGCCTCTGAAGTGGTAGAAGTTGACTGACTTGTGTTACATTATGCAAATTCGGTATACATTTCTACTGTTTCATCATTTCTTTGATTTCTTTTATGGCATAGGAATAGCAGTTATAAATCTTGGGTGTAACCTCTGTTTTGTCAAAGTCAGTTCAGTTTTCAGTGATAGTCATGGATCATATCCGTATGAGTGTCCTTTATGTTTGGGAATTTGTGTCCTGATATGATTACCCATTTGTATTATATATACTTTGCCATGTGATTGGAGGCCACACATATATGTTGATCGTTTGGTGTTACAATGAGACTTTCCATGCATACTGAACAAGCATTTACAGTAATACTTCTGTCTGTAAACTGTAACAGCCTCAACTGTGATAGTATATATCTTCTGTTTACAGAAATATGCTGTAACTCTGGCACAACAGTTAGGTTTGAAAGGCCCAAAGTATGCAAAGAAGCTTGGTGAAAACCTGGACGAGAACAAACTTGATCAAATGCGTGAAGATCAGCTTATGCAGCTGTATGAGTTACTTTTGGCTGCAAAAGAGAATCATACAGAAAGCGAAGATAACAAAGTATCCTGACTGAAGTCGGTAGATACTAGAATACTATGATTATTTAATTATACAAATGATAGAAATACCAGGTAATGTGTACCATGTAGTAGCCAAACTAATAAACATTAGCAGTGTGATTATGTTTGTTTTCAAATCCCATGAAGACACTGATGAAACCTACCCTGTATCCATATATAAGTAGGTAATGGGATGGACAGTGGACAGCTTTGCTGTGTAATAAGCAATGACCAACAAAAGTGTCAAGTTTTCTTAAAATTCAATACCACCTTGCTCTTTTTGAATGCACATTATTCTCTTCAAAAGGCCAAAGTGCATTGTGGGCTAAATATTATTCTGTAGTAGAGTGAACTCCACTGTTCCATTTTGCTGGTATTTGGACGCTGACTACACTGAAGTTTCAAGTTGTTTTTATGTGAAGACCTGATCCCAGTTTGTTAGTATGGTAATAATCACATATTGTGAATTTTGTGGCTTTGACTGAGTTGGTAGTTGACATCCAATGTGTATTTTAACAAATCCCACACAGCACAGTCTTATGTAGCTGGTGTCTTCAATTGAGTGTACTTTTCTAGGGTTTTTAAAAATGATTTCAGTGTCCATTTTAATGCTCTCATTTTCTAAATGTAGAAATCATGCATCAAGAACCTTAATGATGCTAATCTGTGTTTACTGAATCACTAATAATTTCAAAAGAAAAAGAACTAATAAATCAACACTAGATATAATAACATATTATATTTTATGTTATCTTAGTGAAATACGTTACCCGATGGTTTGTTAGCTGATTTAATGCAGGATTAAAAAAAGAAACAAGCATTGTGAAACTAGCTACTACAATGTAGTCTTCTTCCCGATGTTCACAGTATGTCATTATGGTAAATGACAATTTTCTATTGCCCACTGAACACACTATCTTACCAGGGTTTCCTCCTTTCTTGTAATAAAATACTCTTTAATAATACTACTTCAGAAGTATACTAGTTTGGATCAAATTTAATTTACTTTGAAAATAGATATAACAAGTTCTGAAGTACAGGTTTTATTAATTATAATATGAAAAACAACAACAACAAAAAAAGCATCTTTCTTTGACTACAGTAACACATGTAACAACAGACCAAGGGTATGGTGGGATCTTGCCAAGAGAAAGGGGGAGGGGAAGTGAGGCAGGATAGAAGGGAAAGTAAAAGAAATAAAAATGGAAAACATTTCCCAGGCATACTAGCTACAGTTGTACTTTCCTTGGATCTGACCTCAAACTTATATACAACTAATCCTGTACATTATTTGAGGGTTTGAGCAATGCAGACACCAGTCTGTAGTGAAGTGTAATGGAAATGTAGTGTGGTAGGAAGAGGAGTTGCTATGAAGCAATGGTGGATGGCTTCAGATTCGTTTATGTACATATGGCAATATTTGTTATTGTGCCAGCAGTAGAAAAGAAATTACTACTTAGGCAACACATAGTATTACAATCTTCAGCATATCCTGACACAACTGTTGAAATTTTGTCCTTCCTTCAATTGAGCTGCAATTTAAAATCATTTAGTAAATTATTTATTGATTTTTAAACTATGTTGCACCTGCTTTTCAAATCTCTTTTACTTTGTAATTCGTTATATAACAGATCATTCATGAACGGAAAGAATCACAGAACTTCACGAAACAACAACATTACAGCATTTCTTTTCAATATGACAAGAATCATTCCAGCTTCTGTTGAAAACATAAAATATAATATATAGTATATATATATATATATATATCCTTTTAAATTTTTTGCTAATTTTCATATATTCATTATTTAACAATATAATAAAAGTATTATTGATCAATCAACTTGTGAAAAAAGCGATGTGTAGTTTTGGACAAGGGTTGTAGTATTAACTTGTGTCTTTTTTTTTTTTTACACTACTTCAACCTTTTGACATATAACAAAATGCTGACTCAAGTGCTTTTATTCATTCCTTCTTTTCCTGTCATCATATAATATTTAATCTTATGCTTCCCACTATGTTGGCAACACTGATGTCTATTTTAAACTTTATGTTTATCTTCATAACAAGTTACTTTTAGAAGACAGAAGGGCATCTGAAATGTAAAGGAACTTCGAGAAAATGACAGACAAAATATCACATGCCTAATCACTGAAATACTGCTGATGCTCAAGGCCATTCTTATCTTATCAACAGATACACGAAGAAAATGAGGCAAATGCTGCCAAATCAGAAAAGCTCTTCAAATGTTATCCCTTTTAGATTCATTAGTTAAAATCAGCTTCATGTGAATATTATGACTTATTTCTTGAAAATTTTGTACAATATGTTTTCATAATAAAATAACCCCCACTCTTCACTCCAAAATGAAAAAAAAGAAGTCTAAATATGATTTTAAATTCTCTTCTGCAAATATCATGAAGCATTTTTATTATCAGTTTTACTCAAAAAATTTTAAAAGTAGCTACATGTAAGATTTTCAAAGAATAATCTTTGTTATGATCCAAAACTATTATTTTTCCTTTTTTGCTCTATGAATAAGGTGGCCTGGCACAGACATCCCTTTGGAATCAAAGCACAGAAGCTGATGACAGTGACAACATTGTAAGGTGGTATGTATGTTGTACACAGGACAAGGTTGGAAAATAAAGGATCTTACCATGGCTGCCAACATAACATTGCTTCAGATTCATAATTTTCTGTTAGATGTCAGGTTTGTGGCTTTCTTGAAGGCAGCTTGGACCTTAGGCAGTAAGAGAACGAGAGAGACTTGTCTTTAGATCGGATGAAACCCCAACAAATGTCAGTGTTGTTTGGATGGACTTACTTCATTCATCATTAGAACTCTACCTGCAATCATACAATTGCACAGGGACAAAACAGTTAATATGATTTAGGATAAAAGGCTGTGCCCTGGACATTCAAAACTACATTCCAATTCAACTCAATCAGCAGACTTCCAAAGATTCTACAGTGATTCTATCTATGCTGCCATTGGTCAAAATACTTCTAGAACTCTTCCTTTTGGGGGAGCTGGCATGATGTAGTTGGTACAGCGACTGGCGATGGGCTGGATGACTGAAAGGTCAGAGTTGGAGTCCTGGTAGGGTCAAGAATTTTCTATTTCCCAAATCGTCCAGACCAGTTCTAGGGTCCACCAAACCTCTTATCCAATTGGTACCCAGGGCTCTTTCCCCAGGGGTAAAGCAGCCAGGGCGTGAAGGTGACCACTCACTTCCATCTAGTGCCGAGATCAAGAAAATGTGGATCTATTCTTTATGAAAAAGAACCTATTCAGTTTGACCAAACTGGCCCATGTTTATCAATTGGGCACAACTAAGTGTGCTTTCTTACCTGAAGATGGAGACAGAGTCCAGCCTCCAAAACATTTTAATAACAATTTGGGTGATGCAGAATGTCCAGAAAATCAGTCATTGCAGAAGTACATGAGAATTTAATGCCAGGGATAACCAAGTCCCTCCCCCTTCTTGTGCCCCTCTTTTTTGGGCTAAACCCATGCAATAAACTCTAGAAGGCACTGTAGTGAATAACATTCTGGGGAGATGTTGAATATAAATATAAGAACACAACTAAAGCTTTTTTGAGGTTCTTCTGGGTTGTTTCCTAGTAATAATGAGATAGATTCTGACATTTCGAAGGAACATATGCCTCCATTTTAGAGTAGAACTTACGAGAATGGATGAGGGATATATAGGAAACAGTGGGCAGGGAACAACCTGATTTTTCTTACTGTATATATTGTGACATGTTGTGCAATGGAGGACCCCCCCCCCACCAGCAGTGACGCGGCGGGTGAGTCAGTGCACCCCTCCCCCCCTCCGAACGGTAACGTAATGTGCAACACGCGGTGACGTAACAGGATGACGTGGCACTCATTACGCATCAGGCAAGCACTGCAGCTATATAAGGGAACTGCACAGCAGCCTGCGAGCAGAGTTGGAATCTAGCCAGCGGCGTGTTACGAGTGAAAGTGTGTAAATCAGGGAGACTTGTATAGCTCCCGCATTATTAATACGTGAAGACTACTGAAGATAGTGTGAAGAGAGTTGGTTGTAGGGTTTGTAAAGTGTGGAAACCCGTAACATTGTTATAATTAATTGTAGCCATTACTTGTAGATTGTTCAATAAACCAATTAACGATCTCTATGGCGTATTCAGTAACGAAACACGTTACACTGGTGTCAGAAGTGGGATTTGGACTTACACACGTGACCGACAGGATTCGAACTCAAAACACGTTACACTGGTGACAAATAATTGAATTATTGTGCATCGAGTGGTTTACTGCTACAACATGGACATGGAAAAAGTGATGGAATGTCTGTTGTTCGCCCAGGAGCAAATGGCAGCCAGACAGAAAGCCGATAGGGAGGAAGAGAGGAGGAAAGAGAAGGAAGAGATGGAGGAATGTAGGAGGAAAGAGAAGGAAGAGATGGAGGAAAGACAAAGAAGATTTCCTGGCCAAATTAGACTCCTGTCAAGAAAAGGTGGAGATCAGCCACAAGGAACTCCTAGCCAGAATGGTCGCCTGGCGAGAAAAGACTTCCGCGGAGATGAGAGCAACCCAAGCAAGGGCGGCACAACAAGAAGAGGTCCCCATAGTGATACCGGTCGGAGAGACGATGGCCTGCCAAGAAATGGAGGCACGTCCAGAAGATGAAGAGCCGGCCTCAGTGCACAGGAAACCTGAGGCGGCAGAACGAGAGGTACCCATAACAGACGCCGAAGTAATGCCGGTCAGAGAACCGAAGAAGAAAAGGCGCAGGGACCGAAAGCGACGAATTATGAAGAACCCGACACGGAAAAATTGCGGACCCCAGAATACATTGGCCGTCGTCAGCAGGAAGGTGTCCCACCATGCAAGAGTGGCATGGAGCAAGAGGAACATCTTCAGGAAATCTTGGACCCAAGGAGATCATTCGTCCCGGATGAAGTTGGCTGCCATCTGCAGGAAGATATCCCGTCATGCAACAGTGGCACGACGTTGGAGAAATGCCTTCAAGAAGGAAACTCCCCAGGGAACCTTCGGATGCCGGAAAGAGGACTTGGCACCACGGTCTCATGCCAGCAAGTGGCGGGAGGACCAGGAGGAACGACGATGTCAGCAAGTGCAAACAATGCATCAAGGGCTGTTACATCGACATAAGGAAATTATCATGGAAGACATAAACCAGGACTGGACACTGTGGAGGGGACGACCCCCTCCAAAATGGAAAAAGAGACTTCAAGCAGAGGAGGAACCGGTAATGTAGATGAACCGGCCTTCCCAGAGAGAGTGAATGTGCCACGGGAGAAAGCGATGGATGAATGGGATACAACTGGATCTTCTGGCGAGCTGAAAGGAAGCCGCTCGAGACGAGTTGGTCTTAAGAAGGGAGCCTTTGTAACGGCCGGAGAACAGATGCTGCAAGAACAGCCTCCGAAGCAAAGGAATGGGGATGCACCGTTAGGCTATTCGGGACGAACAGCCTTAAGGAGGGAGCAGTGTGACATGTTGCGCAAAGCCGNTGAGTTGAGTTGTAACGTGGCCATCGCCGAAGACTGTTCCGAGTTAGTTCCGAGCAAGCCTACGAGCGAGTGTGTTATCAGCAGTTCTCCAGTCAGCTGACTACAGTTGGAGTATAGTAGCCGTCGTGGAAAGAAGAACCAGACGTGTGTGTAACTGTGTAATTGGGAGTGTGTGAGACAGAGAGACTTGTATAGCTCTCGCGCTATTAATACGTGAAGACTCTGGAAGATAGTGTTAAAGAGATTTTGTTGTAGGGTTTGTAAAGTGTGGAAACCCGTAACACTGTGATAATTAATTGTAGCCGTTATTTGTAGTTTGCTGAATAAACCAATTAACAATCTCTACAGCGTATTCAGTAACAAAACCCGTTACAATATTATATATCTCAAGTTGTATGAAATGAAGATATCTGTAATGATCATGAACAAACCTGCTTCCTGACCTGTTCCTTCAACAGGTGTGGGAAGAGTACCAACAGCTGCCTGTGCTGGTGGCAGTGACTGTATGCTGCTTGCTTGAGGTGGCAATGAATTTCGTACAGGATGTGTTGGAATTGTAGCTGTCACCTTAGGTCTGAAATAATATGAAACATACACTTTAATTAAAGATGCACACGAGATCAGTTCTTAGACTGACTTACATATGGAAAGGGGGAAGTGATCTAAAGGCATTATTTTCCATCTCTTCTAGTCATGCCATATTTACCAGAATGAGATGACACTGAATTGTCCCTCCTCCAATCTTTCACTAAAAGCTACTGTAGAACAAATAATAACTAAAATAGTGGAGGAAAGTTTGTTTTGAAACTAGTGAGTAATATGGTGGTTCTGAGAAGAACGCGCCTCATTGCACACAAAATATTTGTTACTTATCCAAGCTTTTCTATATATATGTTTGATGTCAAGAGTTAAAAAATCAAAATCTAGATAACATTGTTCTGAGTTATGAACAATCTGCAATGTGTAATATGACAATACTGTTGATATGCCTTTGAGCATCTGGATGTCCAAGTTAGTTGCAGTTCGAGGGCTGAAAGATGAAATATACACATAGCCTCCTGTTCATATGATATCAAACTACATACACTGTTTGCTTCTTCTCAATTCTCATCTGTATATCATAGTGATATGATCATCACAGCAAGTCATATGCTTGTGATACTCCAAACAGTAAGCTTTATGGGAACAATCAAACTGAAATTTTTTTTTAAAGTCTTTCGTTCTGAAGTTCCCAGTACCCACCTTTGTTTCCTTGGTTTTGGGGGTCTACCTACTGATCCTATTGACACCTCTGAACCAGATGACTGGCTTCCATGTGGGTAATGCATTGGTTGCTGCTGCATTCTGTGTGTAGGATGGTGAGATCCTGGCATGGTGGTGGGGTGAGAAGTGAGAGGGAAGGGCATCCTTAATGCAGGAGAGGATGACGATAGGGGTTGCTGACCCATCACCCGCATATCACCTGATGGCAGAACACAATACAACATACCAATTAAGCATCAATGGTATTCATTATTAATGAATGAATTAACAGAGTGGAGCAATGAGTTTTGGAGAACTGCCATTTTCTTTATATCACCATCATATTGATGGTTAACTAAATAAATCTTCCATTTTCAAAAATAAAACATGGGGTGTTCAAAAAAGAGAATCATTTCCTTTATGAAATAGTAATACTTCTAATGCAATAATCATTTGAATATCATTACAGTTGATGGTTCTGCTTTTGAGGTACATTTTCTAGAGACGCAAAACCCGTCAGACATAACTATATATCCATTGTCTTTGCAGGTATATATCCCAAGTATAGTCTATTTCCACCACCATTCAATTTAATGTGCTATGCATTAAATGTGAAACATTCAGGTATGGAAAATTGTGTTCAGTTTCATGATGAACAGTAAAATAAATTCTTTGGCAATATCCAAATATGAGTTTTGAAGTATGCTGTGGTTGCGAGGTGTCACTTGGTCTACAGATGAATATAATTTCTTTTGTGATTAATAAGAACTAATTTAAGATATGGATGGCTAACCTTTGCCATCAACTGAGACACTAGCTAGCATTGATCATTAACATCTGGAGCCACTTGGTAATTCAGTCGTTCACTGAACTGTAGTTCTTTTTTGTGAGATATATTCTTGTTGGTATTAGCAATGAGGGTGGCTTGTACCCCTTCTTAATGAAAAGTAACTTCTGCTGTAAATCTGGCATCAGTTAAGGAAAAGGTTCTCTATCCCTGATAGTACTAATGCTAATATTGAACTCATAATTGATTATTAAATTTAGGAACTCTATTTATTATAGTGCTTAGAGTAACTTCATAAAGTAAAGTTCCATGTGCTTAACTAATTAAGCACCACACCATGAAGGCATGTGGGGGAGTGGGCGTATAAGCCATACTTTTAGAATGACTGGACCTCTTAAATGAAAGTTAAATAAATCATATGAAATGATCATCAAGCCTCTTAAAATGCAAATTACATCATCATTCTCAACTGTACATTATGCCAATTTTTAATTAATTGGTTATCAGATATGTAATAAAAATAAAAACTCTGCAACATTCACAAAGTGCAGTATGTCTGGGGCCAGTCTGCAGTAATGGAGGACACACAAAGAAAAACTATGTGCAGGTTTCAAGAGCAAAGCACACTGCAAACATAAAATGGGACACTATAAAGAGAACTGAGGGGGATAAGAAAGTTTTGTGTCTCAAGAAATTTGTACCTATTGCCTTTCATCAGAAAATTAACACCATTATGTTTCCTTAAAACGTTTTACTGGGGTGGGGAGTCATCTTATAGCAAGGTAAATATGGTATACAGACAAGCATCTTATATTGGCTTGTGATCTGTGTAATGTAACTATGTAAAATGCCATGTGGGAAAGGAAAAGAAAAAAAAAAAACAGAGCAACAAAGCACTATAAATAGTGATACATCATGAAACTACTATTCAAAATCTGATAGCATCAAATTATGCAAAATGGACCAAATGGACTAACATCTGTGTGCTCATGCAAATGCATCATTTATTGATGCAACATACAATTATATCTTTTTTTTTATTTTAAGTGCTCATTTTACATCCAGTTACATAAGATATATTATAAGGAATATATTCTGGTTTCTGAGGTCCTCACTGAGATGTGATGTCATGTAGCTTGATAGATGCGCACCAATATTTCGGAGGAACTGTTTGCCTCCATCTTGAAGATGCAAGCAGTATGTTCCCCAAACCTTTGGTCCATACCAACAACACTATATGGCATCACATCCCAGAAGAATGTAATCTGAATAATTTCTGGTTTCATAAACATAATGTCTGGACATGTGAAAAGCTGTCAGCCAGGAACAGAATATTATACTTAAGCATCCTGTTGCACTCTACATGATAAATGATACAAACTCCGTCCCAAGTGCAAACAATATATATTATATGTCTTTGATCTTGTTCTCTTCCACACTACATGTTTTGGCCCCTATCGGCCATCATCAGGTGTATACTCTTAACATTGCTGCTACACTGAAACCAGTCTAAAATTTAACATTTAAAACACATTGTTATTTTCTTCGTATTATCAACATCTACCTCATTGATATGTGTCTGGTATGTAGATTATATTGCACACGTCAAATTTGATTTTCCTGTAGTAGCACTATAAAATCTTTAGTTATGATTTTAAAATCCTTTAAAATTTCTCTAGATTTTAAATTTAAAATTGTTAGGGTTACTCGCCCTATGTCTAAAGTGCTGGAGTGGCTAGTTCTTGTTTCCACACTGTACAGGTGTTATTCAGTGTAGTCTTCCTGTGTGCGTGCCGCTGCTTGTCTTTACTACGTGTAAAGACACTACATAGTGTACTACGTAGTAAAGACAAGCAGCGGCACGCACACAGGAAGACTACACTGAATAACACCTGTACAGTGTGGAAACAAGAACTAGCCGCTCCAGCACTTTAGACATAGGGCGAGTAACCCTAACAATTTTAAATTTTAAATTTAAAATTTAGAGAAATTGTAAAGGATTTTAAAATCATAACTAAAGATTTTATAGTGCTACTACCGGAAAATCAAATTTGACGTGTGCAATATAATCTACATACCAGACACATATCAATGAGGTAGATGTTGATAATACGAAGAAAATAACAATGTGTTTTAAATGTTAAATTTTAGACTGGGTTCAGTGTAGCAGCAACGTTAAGAGTATACACCTGATGATGGCCGATAGAAGCCGAAACATGTAGTGTGGAAGAGAACAAGATCAAAGACATATAATATATATTGTTTGCACTTGGGATGGAATTTGTATCATTTATCAGGAACAGAATGTTAAAACCAGTGGCTATCCATTTTAGACCTATCTCAAAGTTACCCTGCTGACTCATGAAATGAAGGTAGCTTTTTCTCTCAAGTGTCAAGAGTCAATATTTTGGAATTCATGCCAGGATATTTCACTGCAGCAAATTGATGATGCAGACACAATGTACAAATTCTGAGTACTTATCTTTCATTACTTGATGATTTAGTGGTCAGTGTGCACAAGATTGATCTCCTTCATGGATGACAGTTTTACACTCAACTAAGTCACATTCTGTAATAATGTACTGAAAAAAAAAACTCTGTGGCCCTTAGTCCGCAAGCGAACTATACCGACCAAGCGACTGCCAGTTGTTGGCGAAGTTAGTGCCAACTTTTGTGGATAGAGGGTGCCGCATAATAATGTACCGAATGTTTACAAAATTCTTCTTATATAATTTTGTGCATGCATCAGTCATCACAGAAAATTTAGAAATAATAATAAAAAAAATTTAATGTAGTAGCATTTGAACATGGATACATGAAGTTGGTGGTGGTGGTGGTGGTGGTGGTGGTGGTGGTTGTAGTAGTAGCAGCAGTTGTGATGTGCAGCATCTGAAGTTGTACTAACTGTTAGATTGTTAGCTCTCAATGCACTAACATGTCCAGCTTCTTATTAACCTTATGTTAGTACCTGGCATAATGCGTAGCCCAAACATGGGTACTGATGAATATCTCATGCTTGCAATGGACTTGTCATTTCCACACACATCATAATGACTGCCATTACCCCTATCCTTGCTCCCAACTGAAGGAGACCGACTATATGGCGGTTTGGACCCTAGACCATCCCGAGGAAGTCTTGGAGGAGGACTTGATCTCACAGTAGACATCATCTGGAAATGAACACAACCTTATATGTTATCTACACACCACATGTTATCTGAAATGAGCAACATGTCATGAAATATCTGTAAAAATGCCTTTATTATTATTATTATTATATATTCTGACAGTCAAAGATATGCCCTGAAACCAGCAACAGTCCAGAATTACAAGCAAATGGTGTATGTGGACAAAAATGACAGCATGATAAACCGTTACTTTATCAGCAGGCAAACCTGAAAGTGGACTAAAAACTGTTTCTTTAACCACTTGATCTGTCAGTCCTGAAAAGTCAGATGCTATTAAACTCCTCTTGTAAGATATTCTACAGAAATTTCAGTCTTGCCTTGCTCAGAGGCCTAACACAAGAGGGTGGAAATTTTGCCTCATCTTCATCCCATCTCACAAGGAGTCCAACCCCTTCACCCAGCCATCTGATCCTTCTCAAATTGTGATAAAGTGCTTAAAATGGGAAAAGTGTGTAGTGTTGAGTGTGTTCTCTATACAACAAATAAAAAAGAAAAATTTTCAGTATTTGAAGTTCAATGTGGGGATGTGTACTGAACCATTTCAGACTCTACTACACAAATATGCATTTTTGAGGATTCACAGCTCTTAACTGCAGGAAACAGATCACACCATCATAAGCAATAAAATCATCTCTGCTATTTCAATTTACTCTTTTTATTTTTCATGTATGCATGTTTTCATAAAAAGGCACGATTGGGAATTGTGAAGTGTATGAACCAGACCATGACAACTGAAGAAGAAATGTCATACTTTGTCTTGTTTTGTGATAAACGGAGATCATCTGTTTGGACAAACTGTAACCTGATTTATAGTTTTGCAGTGCATTACACAGTTTTATAACCTAATCAACCCCAGTATGGGATTCATTTTATGTATTTTGCAGTAAAAATATGGCAATTGTGGACTTCAAATATTTATTTTAAGTACAGCAGAAAATTAACTTCCACTCCTTCGAGTACATATACAGGGTCAAAACAATGGTACCTCAGCAGAGCAGGGTTCCTTCCATTTGGCCATGTAAAAGTATATACTACCATAGTCAATAAGTTCGTCGACTGGCCTTCAAAGCATCGTTGCAGCGCACTACAACAGACAGGCTGAGACATGATATGATGCTCTGTCAGTTCATCTCTTGTTACAGCAAGCGGCAGTTGTGTGCAAACAGTGGAAGCAGAACTATGGCCTCTTTTGTGAACTGCAGTTAAATGCAAGTGGCAAAAATCGAAAATGTGGCAGTTTGAACAATGAGCAAACATCAAGTTCTGCCAAAAATTAGGCAAATCCTGTAGTGAAATGTTTGACATAGGAACAATTGGCTGTTTCTATATGACAATGCCCCTTCACATTGCTCTGTTCTTATTCAAGAGGAATTGGCAAGGCTACAGGCCATCATTTTGCCACAACCTCCATACTCACCTGATCTTGCCCCATTCGATTTCTTTCTCTTTCACCACTTGAAAGCAAAGTTACGTGGTCATAGATTTTAGTCATCCGAGGAGGCTGTCAATGCCACAAAAGATGCCATATGGGAATTTCCTGCCAATATGTTTCAGGAATATTTTCAGCAGCTATATCAACGTTGGAAGACTTGCATAGTGGCCAACGGCAACTATTTTGAGGGCCGATGTGGGTCTGTGTGAGTGTGAATACCTTGTAATATGATGTGATAGAACCACAGTCCACGAACTTATGTCCGTACCACATAGAATATAGTGGGTCAAATGTACTTCCCTTCCACCAAATAAAGGTTAATATTATCTGTCCTAACCCTCTGCTGGACCAAAATAATGGTTAGTCTAAAATAAATTTATCACTTCCTACTAAATTTCTTCTACTGGAAATTCTTCATTACATAACAGAATGAAATTCATACAAGACACAGGAATAAATGTCCACTTTGATATGTTCTATGTAATGCATACTGTATATGTTATATACAGAATTTGTAGGTAAAATATCCCTCATTTCTCATGCTTATATACCATGATTCACGAGTCTCACCTGCAAAATCTGGAACTAAATTTGGTAGGTCTACCTACAGGACCTAATTACCAGGACGATAAACCTATTAGATAGAAGTCAATTCTGTTTCACCTGCATGTTAGACCGGAACAGTCCTAGATTTGAGAGGACCATAAACCTATTAGATAGAAGTAAATTCTGTTTCACCTGCATGTTAGACCGGAACAGTCCTAGATTTGAGATGATAGTGGGGAGAATGTACTGCGATGACCCAGGAGTAGAAGCATTGCCTGTAGGCTGCTGACTGTATGGGCCAGGAGTTGGAGCATTCCCACTTGCTCCACCTCCATTGTACATTGGTGTGTAGTTCCCTCCATTCAGGTAGACATATGGGTGTGTGGGCACACTGCACAAGGACTGTAACAGTTACAGGTAGAGCTAGAATTACATCTGCTGAAAGACTTAGTATTGTCACACGTTAGTGACTAGACACAGGGTCTGGACTGGTAATTGGATTCTCTCAACACTTAGAAATTGTAATTATAAATACAAGTAATTATAGAGCTCTTGCTAATTTGCACACTCTTACTTCTCACTACTTAGCACATGCTAAGTCCTCTATGTCTTCACTAGCCATTACCTGGTAACTTATCCCAACAATGTTCTCTGCGCTTATGTCCTTACTGGCTGGCAACTGTCCCCTAACTAACTGATTCAACTGTTGACTCTCAAATGCAACTCATGGCCTTATAGCCAGGACTGTCCACTCACTGGCTCTCGCTGGTTGTCAACTACCTGTCTGGTCTGGTTGCACATGCATAGCCTTGGCACAGACCACAAAGAAAATGGCACAGGCCTGTATAAAACACTGCTTCATAATAGTTTACTGGCTGTTGCATAGCAACAGCAATTTGTTTAATGACATTGCATGTTTACTGTGCCACTGTCTAGCATCGGATTACGTCTCTTGTTAAGCTATTTGGTCAAGTCATAGTACTTTTCTTGATCTTCATAAAATCATTGCTATGAAATTTAACCTTTATCGGACGAACGTCATCATATGATGTCGTTAAAAGTTAGGGCAGCTGGCCGAACGTCATCATATGATGTCGCGGATTCCACGCGTGTAAGGTTTTTTTTATATTATATTAAAAATATAAATTGTTGTTCTATTTACATGATTTTTGGTCACCACCTTTATAAGGAGACAGCCTTCGTTCCTGCATGATCTAATGTAATCTAGGGACGTCATATGACGTTAAAAGTAAGGACAAATTTAAGAACGACATCATATGATGTCGCGCATTCCACGCGTGTAAAGATTTTTTTAAAATTAAATTTAAAATATAAATTGTTCTTCTATTTACATAATTTTTGGTCACAACCTTTATAAGGTGACAGCCTTCCCTCCTGCGTGATCTAATGTAATCTACCGACGTCATATGGCCGAACGACCTCATATGATTTCGCGCATTGCACGCGTGTAAAGATTTTTTTAAAATTAAATTTTTGCTCTACTTACGTGATATATGTTCACCATCTTCATGAGGAAACAGCCTTCCCCCCTGCGTCATCTATGGTAATGTGGCCTTCGTATGGTACTGCCGAAAAAATTCCGAAATGCAGAGTCCGACGTCGCAGCTCACGCACTTCGTACGAACGCTAGACCGCTTCCCACGCGAAAAGCACACACGACACCTCAGTTGCGATTTAGAGGAAGCAGGCCAGTGATGTCGAGCTGCAGTGATATTTATCCCCGCAGCTACACCGGAATAATTATTCACACCTCTCCAGCCACACTGGTCTGGCGGTCCCCAAGTTGCCAACGAAGGTGATGACCCGTCGTCCGCGGAATCAGAATTCCAACTTTGCTCGCCCCTCTCATAATCTGTGTCATTAAACAGCTATTTCTCAATTTTAGGCATCAGAAGACCAATCTTCCACGCCACATTCAGAATCGGTTGAATAGCAGTCCGAATCTGTGTCTCATTTCAGCATTTTCCATACGACGTCGTAGTGTATACGGCTCTCTAGCAGTGCTAGCAGTGAATCTCTGTGCTTAGACAATGATAAGAAGCCATAAATCTTAACCTCCAGCCCACACATACAAAAATCTCATTCACGACTTCTCTGAACCCAATATCTGCTTCATGATGTCATGGGTGGCTAACCTTATATTGCAATATTTCAAAATCGTTACAAACACAATGGTTTGACTGCAATGAATGAACGAATTACCGATCTGGCAACACCATATTCCGAGAAGTAACTCCTGTGTTTATCTAACACATTAGGCAGCGAGGATTTTCAGACGCAAACAGTCGTGCATAGCGACATGTCCCATACGATAAATAAGAGATACCATTGAATGTGAAGTCGCCACAAGGACTTACACTGCTAAAACGCATGGTGCAGAAATGTATTACACTGCTAGAACGCATGGTGCAGAAAATGTATGAATTTCGGGAAATTTTATTTTGGGAATCAGTGTAAAAATTTTTTACAGATATTAAAATCTGTAAATTAGAATATCTGATTCTATATTCTTTCTACATTAAAGGAGCGTTCATTTCGTTCGTTTATCATAAAAAATGTAGAAATCACACCATTTTTAGAAACATGCTTACAATTTCATTGCTCTAGAAGGGCGGGCATTTAAATGAACTCCGTCCAGCTGCCCCTACCGGAAATTAAATGGCCCGTCCGATAAAGGTTAATCATTACTGTCTGGGAATAGAGGATTTAAAACTCCCATTACTATGGCAATGGTGATCTGAATTTAACTTGGAGGTAAAGATATTTACATTGTAATGAATGTGACAGTCAAGACTGATGGAGCTGTATGTGTGCTGTCACAATAGTGCAATGCACAGATGATAAAGGTAAAGAGGGAATCAACTCTGTGTGTCAATACATTTTACTAACTAAATGGTACAATACTGATGGCGCTGTCACATAATTGATATAAGGAAACTTCTGTTATGCAGTTCTAGCTATGTCTGGTTTCCTCTATAAATTACTGATGGCAATGAATAACACCTGGGCCTGATGCTTTAGATTAATGACTAAATGGTAATTTAAGGATATTTATGAAATTTTCAATTAATCTTATAACCACCTCCCTCCAGAGCTTAAACAATTATCTTATGACATTCCTGGATTTAAAGTGGCGTTAAAGAAGTTTCTTATCACCAGTTCTTTTTATACTGCAGAAGAATACTACTGCTGGAATAAAGATTGATACCTCATGTATATTTGGTAAACGCTGTTGCCTACTGCTGGGATGCAATGGAATATGGAATGAAATACTCAGGAAGAGGGTGCTATCACTGCTGTGATGTGGGTGTGTCATGTGTTAAGAAAGTGGATTTTATATTACTATATTAAGAGTCCTGACGGTCTTTTAATCATGTATGTAACTTTAAATGTTATTTTGATATATGAATGTATTGTTGTACAGTAGTTTTGTTGTATTGAGTATTTAAATTTTGACGATGATGACTGTCTGATTATGTATGTATATTTATATGTTATATTGTATTATTGACTTGTTCTATATCTGAGGCAGATGCCTCTATGGATTTTTTGGAACTATAAATAAATGACAATGACAATGACAATCTAAAATTCATACTATGGATTTCTGGGTTATGACACCATGTGGCTATCAGTTTCAAAGGAATACACGGTCCCCATCTGCAGTGTTGAAGATGAGGTAGTACATTCTCACAAAATGTTGATTCATACCTAACAGACTACAGGCTATACACAATCATAATCCAGAGGACATTACTCACTCATGGAGCTGAGCTCTTCTTGAGAAGCTGCCAATTGTGTAGCTACTCAAGAACTTCCCAGCATTTTATGGAACCTGAAGGTTCATTACAGAGTTCACAAGAGCCCTCCACTGGTCCCTATCCTGAGCCATATCAATCCAATCCAAAGGCACTAAACAGCCAGTAAAGACTGAATTTGAGTTGGAAAATTCGGACATTCATATCCACAGCTCTGGAAATTGTTTTCACGATGATATTCAGACATGAGATTTAAATGGGTTGCTGCTCAATATGTTCATTACCAATAATGTTTACAGTAAAAAATTTTGGGATGGATATAAAAGTTTCATGCAACAACAGTTCTAAGGCCTACAAAACTCTGTTTATCTTAATGAAGTTTTTCCATTAAAAATGGCATTTAACAAATTAGTATTATTAAAATTTAGTTATAAAAGAAGGTTATGGATTCTGAGGCCACTTAGCTTTCTATTTGGCCTCACCTAGCCTGTCTCCTTCATGATCCTGACAAGACAAATACTACTAAGTTTGTTTGTATTCAAAATAACATTTCATATTGTGCTCTTTTTTCCCCCCCCATCTGTCACATTGTAAGCATGAGTATGATGATGTTGCAATGAGAGTGAATGAAATAACTACACTAAAAATGGGAGTCTTAGTTACTTAGCTTGAGTCTCATCACTTGTATGAATGTATCCAATGTTTCAGCAATCTGTAAACGGGGAGGAAAGTTGTTTGTGATTGGTTAAGTGTCTTGACTGCTACATACACTGATGACGATATCAAAAATCATGCCCGAGAAGAGAGAGTGACCCACATATTAAACATGGGAATGGAAACCAACAGAAGAATAATTCCAGAGGCACATCCTGAAGACAACTGCAGTTTTAATACAACTGTTCTAAATATCAGAACATGAGATGGAGCTCAACCCTGAGAACCATTAGACCCTGATCATGAAAATGTGTAATCATAGACAGCTCATCTTCTTTCAAAATGAAACTTTGATTTAATCCCATGTTCAAACCAAAGTGCATACATAACAGAATTCCACAAAAGTTACTATATTAAAATTTCTGCACTTCTCCTGTTGCAGCAATGTCCAACAAAGAAATTCAGATGTAAAGTTATGCAATGAATTATATTACTATAGATAGTTTCAATATTTTCTGGATGAAAAATGGTGAATTATATTTCAAGAATTAATTCTCTGATTTCTGCAGCATGAAATCATAAACATTGGTGGGAAGACTACCTCAAACCAAGTTTTTGGAAGGTATAGGTAAAGTTGTCCCTGTGCTTAACTAATTAAGCATTAGGTCATGAAGATGTATGGGGGACTGGATGTATAGATCCATGTGTTCCTGATCTCAGCACTAGTTGGAGGTGAGTGGTCAGATTCACGCCCTGTCTGCTTTACCCCTGGGGAAAGAACCTCTGGTATCCATTGGACAGCAGGCTGGGTGCGCGCCAGAAATGGTCCAGATAATGTAGAGTGGCAAAAAATCTTACCTCTACAGACTTCAACTCCGACCCCTTGGCTGTCCAGCCCATAGGCAGTCGCTATACCAGCTGTGCTATACGTCAAAACCAAGTTTTTCAATAACTAACAGTAACGCATAAAATCCTGTTGATTGTTTTCAGTTTAGTTCAGTCTAATTTGCCTAAGACTTATGGAATGACTGTACCACTCACGTTTCCATGAAAGTTGCAATGGGAACTGCAAACTTTTTTTTGATGATTTTGTTTTATCTGTACTGCAGTAGACTGCTTTATATACAAACTTCTTTTGTGTTTGGAATGCTTATAAATTATTTTTACAATATAGAGCAATATTTATGCAACACGATGCAAACAATAATAATAAAAAACAAGAATATTTTTATTACCTGACTCTGTGTGGGTGTCTGTGGAGGCGTAGGGGCCCTGTATGTTCCCATGGCTGCCCCAGGTTGGCCTGGCTGCATGTAGGGAGGTCCCATACTAAGGCCCATTACTGGCTGACTGTAGGATGCTGGGGTAGAGGGTGGGTGGTAGTATGGCAGTACACCTCCTCCAGCCAAGGCAGATGTCGTTGCACTTGATGAACTGTTACTCAAGCTGGAACAGAATAAGTTAAGAAGTGTATGCACAACATCACAGTTCCAACATGTTCACTCCCTTTATTTTAGTTACACATGAAATATGTGTCTCAGTTTTCTTTACAACTCCTGTTAAATGCATATTTTGCTCTGATAAATATATAGAAAATTACATTCAAGATGTGCACACAAATGCATGTAGGTCTTCATAAAAACTGTCTTATTTTTGTTCAATTTTAACCAAATTTGGAATGCATTAACAAATGTTAGAGAAAATTTCCCAATACCCGAATTCATGAAAAACAATTCAGCTGTTTTTGAACTGTGCTACATGCAGGCAGAGAGACAGACAGACATGGCAAAGCTAACAGATGCATTCTGCAACCTCTAGTCAAAAATAAGCCAAAAACTGCTAAGGTCTTCATGACTTACAAATTAACTGCCCAGCATGAGGTCTGTAATAGGGGTGTACAAAAATCTGCTGTGGACAGTTTGCTCCCTTTGTATTCACATCAAAATTATTAAAAATTAAATTTCAATAACAAATTTCTCATACAATACAATAAACGATGCCTTTCCTGAGTTTCCTTTTAAATTAATGGTTTAACTACTATGAGAGAGAGATTACTTACGAGTTTACATTAATACTGGTAGGGGTGTACAGCATATGCATAGAAGGTTGGGTGTACAGAGGCAAGCAGTCACCATTCCCTGTGGCTGCCAACACTGCTGCTCCATAACTCACCATAGGGTAATTTGGTATGTAGCCTCCTGTAAACAAAAACAGCTAAAACTTCTCTGCATGCTATGTTTCGGAACCATAATTCTGTTCTATCTCAAATACAAAGCAAAAAATTTAGAACCGTGTGATGGAAGTTACAATGATATATATATATATATCCCCCCCTTCTCTCTCTCTCTCTCTCTCTCACACACACACACACACACACACAGATATATATATCAAGTAAGGCCTTACTAATTTGAACAAATTGGGAGTGAACTTACTCACTCACTCACTCACTCACTCACTCACTCACTCACTCACTCACTCACTCACGGAGCTAAGTCCTTCTGGAGGAGCCGCCAATTCTGCAGCTACTTACGAATTTCCCAGCATTTTATGGAACCTGAAGGTTCATTACCGTGCTCACAAGAGCCCTCCACTGGTCCCTATCCTGAGCCAGATCAATCCACTCCATACCATCCCATTGGGAGTGAACCCTTGTCCAAATTAGTGAGTCCAAATTATAGAAGTGTTACTGAAAATATGTTCACAGAAGTTATAAAATAGACTTCACAGGTCTTTTTTAGGCAATACAACTTTATTTTGAAACTTAGACTGCATATCATAAAATAAATTTTCTTGTCATAAAATGTAAAGATGTTAAGTTTTTATATCAGTCTTAAAGACAGTTTAGGTAGCGGCATTGTCACCATCAAGGTCGTGATGCAAAAAAAAAAAAACTGTCTGAATGATCACAAATTCTGAATTAGTGAGGTCTCTCTCTCTCTCTCTGTTTGTTTCTTTGTGTGTTTTTTGACAAACATACACATAAAGCAATCACTCACCAACCACACACCTAAAGCATTCACAATTTCCTATATGTAATTAGCTACGCCAACTGGTATATGATTTTACATATAACTGCTGTATACAAAGAAAAAACTGATCATGCAGGAAAAGGAGAATGACCACTGTGATCATCATGAATGTCAACCATTTCACTTTTTGTGAAACTGTATTACTCTAAGGTCTTGAAGCTAATTTCACTTTGCTTCTTTTATCTTATCTTACACTGAACTTGTAGCAAATGTGAGTATTAAAAATCTGTAGTGTAGAGCAACCTATGAATCTACTGTTCTTAACATATTTGTTTCTAATGTCTCCAGTTTTTGTCGCATTGTTTCAGAGCACTTTCATGTTTGGTATTTAATGACATGGTCAGTACCTAGAATATATGGTAGTGAATGAGATGATGATAAATGAATGTGAAATGGAAAGGATCTGGAAGGAAACAGTCATGGCCTAATTGAGGTATCGGCTCAGTATCTGCCTGGAGGGACTGGGGAAACCATGAAACACTGCAGCCAGGACACTGATGTTCCAGCTGAGATTGAAAATGAGCACCTCCTAAATGCGAGCCTAGACTGACAAGGGTAGTGTAATCCACTAACAATGACAAAGCATCCACAGGGCAAGATTCTGCTCGCTTTGATGGTGAGGAGCCATATTTTACCCAACATGCACAAAGTCCTGGCTCTGTCACAAGTGAGGGGGGAAAAATCTACAGTGGATCTGGACAATCTCAAACCAGTTTCTGAGGCCATGCCATAGCTCAAGCACTTAACTGTTGGCTTCCCACCGCGGCGGCCCGGGTTCAAACCCAGGTCTGGTCAAGTGGGATTTGTGGTGGACAAAGTGGTGCTGGGGTAGGTTTTCTCCAAGTACTTCGGTTTCCCCTGTCAATCTTCATTCCACTAAATTCTCCATCGTCATAATCACCTGGGGCAGGTACAATAGGCCCATCAGTGGCCGCCATGCCAAGTGGACCCAACTGGGCTCCACCCCCCTCTATGAGAATTAAAAAAAACAGTTTCTGGCATGGGAGATAAATGAAAATGGTAAATTTATACTCATGAATGCAGTTTACATACCACTGTGTCCCACGTTCTGTTGAGGCCTGTCCTGATGTGTCTCCTGCTGAACAGAGGGAGGTAAACTTGGGCCACTGGGGTGGCACAGTTGAGTGGCACTGGGGACCTGCTGGTAAGGTGGGTATGTTGTCATATATCTAGGAGTGGCTGGGTTGCAATTACTGGAAGTGGCCTGTTGTGGAGGGGAAGTGTTTAGCATTGGACCAGATGGAGGTGGAGGGGCAGGGAGAGCTGGTGGTACATAATACATTGGTAACGGCTGTTGAGTTGGTTGCTGCGGTGGCTGCAGTTGTGAATGCTGCAATGTCAGAAAATTAAATGCATTGATATTGTGGTCTCCCCACAAGAGGTGTGTTTAGATTAATTAACAAGCTTATTTCAATACAGGTTTATAGGGGTATCTAGTGAGGCAGGAAAACTGAACAAGCTGACTCAAATGGTAATGTTTCTAACATGTATTCAGGAAGTGCCTGGTTCAAATGTTGTTCAGGACACTAACTATACTGACTGACGTTTTTCATGGTTTTCTCAGTCCCTCCAAGCAAATGCTAAGCCATAACCACTTCCTTCTGCATCTCTTCCATTTCATTCTTCACTCATCATTCTACCACTGGACACTGTGTAGTCTGCGCTACTGACAGCATTGTTAAATAATTGAAAGGAGAGAGTAATGGCCCATCCTAGCATTTACTAAGACTGAGGAAAACCATTTCAGTTAGAATAGTTTATAGGTGGCACCTGAGGAACACAAATATGTAGCGTTATTCCTGTATCTGCTTGCTTGGTCACAAGAATAGGATATCATTCAATAATAAAATATTTATGTTCTGGTAGCACACATCTGATCTACATTTCAATAACAAAGACCTGGTAGCAAATGAGACATATGATAAACTTCATAAAATCATAGCAGGTCGGCAGTTTTCTTCTGCCTCATCCAAAACAGTCATATGGAAAGAGAGCATCTGATATGAGAGGTTATAATTATATTTCTCAGTAGATTTCACCAATTGATGACCTATCAGGTATCATGACTAAAAGAAAATAAGCAAGTTGAAGAAGCAGAAAGGGAAAGAAAATTTTAAATGAGAAAAAAGTTGGATCATCTTTCTGAGGATTATGAGATGTAGAAAAGTAGGGTTTACTATGCAAAGCAGAGTACATTAGATGTTACAATTCTGCTGACATAACATAGTATATAATCTATCTAGTTATATACTTCAATTTTTTTATATACTGTCATGTGTAGGGTAGTCTGCATGACAAAATGATGGGTTCTAGTTCAGATGACTAGAGTTACTAGCACTTTGGGTACACACTCTCTCTTAATTACACTTAAATACAGCGCTATCGCTGATTTACACACTTTGTAATTCACTGTTATACACACACACACTAGTCCTCTCCTGGTAATGCAATTAAAATAAAGGAACTATAACAGTCTCGCTAAATTACACACTCCCAATCCCACTTCACTATACTCACAAGTTAACTCTTCTTCAAATACGAACTTCCCATAGCTGTCTCCTACCGAAAACTCAGAACTCTTACCACTTACTAGTTCCAATTTGCTCATTCGTGAGCTTCCACCACTACTATTTCTCTCGTAACTGCCAGCTTAGCAATTCTGCTCACTTATATAGCCGAGGGACCAACACTGACCAACAGTAAACACATACCACATGAACCCTACACACTGTTGCTCTTTCATGTGATGGCCACTTACTGTTCCTGTGACAATTTGATCTACTGTTGCGTGCATGTATCGTGTTTACTGAGATGTTGCATGGCAACACGTTGATCAAATATGCCACAATATATTCAACTACATATTTCAGCCTGATTAGCAATCCTCAGATTGATAGTACATTAATTTTTTGCTCAACTGCTTTTTTATCCATTGGCCAATATTTACATTATTTTTAAAATTGTGATTATGTACTTTTATGGGGAATTTTATATAAAAAAAAAACTTTGCCTGAGGAGAGTGTTTCACAAGATATCACTCTCAAAGGGTACAGGATATGCTGTAAGATAAGCACTGACAATCTGACACACAGAGAGACAGACAACATACTACAAAGTTTAAAATATATGCATTGCAGCATGTAGTGCTGCAAAGTTTGCAGGTGGTGCAGGTAGACAGGCACCCCAGATGTGAAGTATTAACAGCAGAATGTTCTGAATAATTTCGTGCAGTTATTCAGTTTAATATGATTTTTAATCCCGTCTTACTTCTAAAAATTAAAGATTAAAATATAAGATTACATATTTACTCCTCTTCTGTGGAGTCCATTTCTGAGGTAGAGACACCCAAGGCAGATTTCTAATTTACCAATTTACCTTAATAAGTGAAAGCCAGGATCGCGTAGTCGGTATAGTGACTGGCTACAGGCTGGACAACTGAGGGGTCGGAGTACAAGTCCCAGTAAGGTCAAGAATTTTCTCTTCTCCAAATTGTCCAGACCGGCCCTGGGGTCCACCCAAACTCATATACAATGGGTACTGGGGCTCTTTCCTTGGGGGTAAAGTGGTCGAGGTGTGAATCTGACCACTCACCTCCAACTAGTGCCATGATGAAGAAAATATGGATCTACACATCCACTCCCCCATACGCCCTCATGGTGTAGTGCTTAATTAGTTAAGAACAGGGACAACTTTACCTTCATCTTTATCTTTACCTTTATTAGAGGAGAGAAAAAGGAATGTTGGGTAAGCATTACAATTTTTTTTAACAGTACAAGAGAAGCTGGTCAAATTAAGGATACAGTGGTATGGATATAGGTTGCATATTAAACAGGAACAACATTTTCCTAAGCTTTAAAAATTAAGATGTTGAATAAATGATCAACAGACAGACCAAAAGGCAGAAAAGGTTGTTTTATTTTTGACACAGTCAATATTTAGACTTTGTAGCATCAAACAGTAAGAAGACTGATGGACAGGAAAGGACCTGGAAGGCAGTGATCATGGCCTAATCGAAGTATTATCCTGGTATTTGCCTGGAGGGACTGAGAAAACCATGAAACACCTGTCAGGATAGCTAGTATGCCAGCTGAGATTCAAACCAAGCATCTCCTGAATAGAAATCCAGAGCACCACCACAAGTTAAGAAGAGTTAGAGACAGATGTGTGCATATGGAAAGAAAAGGAAAAGTGAAGAAAGCTTTGTCACAGCTGATATAATCCTGGTGAAAACATTATTGGATGATGATGATGATGATGATGATGAGGATGATGATGACTACTGCTACATCCCTTTTGATTTATAATTTATCCACCACATGCAATTTCATACTGCACAAACTCAGTGATGTAAATACAGATTCTCATTTAACTGTAAAATGCATCTCTGTACTCCAGATTACCACCAACCACATTTATTCACACCACCATTTACACTAAAATCTCACTATAACATTATATCAACAAAATTGACAAATCAATAATAAAGACTTTGTATGTAATGCCACTATAATGTATTCTGCTTTATGGAGAAAACCAGTGAACTTTCTCAAAGTCTTTTATGTCCTACCACATTACTGCTTAAGTTCTGAAGGTGGATGGCGGAAAAGAGTGTTGGAACAGCAGCAGAGACAACTCGCATTGCTGGTGGGTAAGTGTGGGAACATACCATGCACCTTCAGTACGTGTTCAGACAGTATTTTCACTACACACTACAGACATAAATGCTAATCTTCAAGTATGCTACACTATTTACTTTATCTTATAGTCATTAGCAACTGTTACCATACATGATAAATTTTCTGCAGCGTATTTGAAACTGACTAATTAACTAACTGCATGGAGATAAATCCTTCTTGAAAAGCTAATAGTTTCTCACCCACTCAAGAAATTCCAAAAAATTTCATGGAACCTGAAGGTTTATTATCATGTTCACAAGAGCCTACCTCAGTCCCCGTCCTCAACCAGATCAATCCAGTCAACCTTCTTTAAGATCCCTTTTATTATTATCATCCTATCCATATCTAGGTCTTACTAGTGGTATATGGAACTCCCAGTTACCTGAATAGGACTAGACTGTTGCTGGGGCTGCCAGTATGCAGCAGCTGCAGAAGCTACAGGTGGGGCAGGAGGTTGTGACTGATAATTGTGAGGGTGGTGGCCTTGATGTGGTGGAGGTGGGGCAGGCATCACACCTCCTGCTGTTGCGGGTTGTGTTTGCTGCTGACTACTAGAGCTCTCGCCACTACCATGCTGGTCTGACACAAGGCCCAGTCCCATGAAATAACTGCTCAAGTCTGACATTGTCACACTGCAGCCATCCTGCACAAACAAGAAACTGTCACTGTTCAGTGTTTGGTACTCCTTTATATTTGGGAGAGAACTGAAGAACAGAAATAGATATGATCTGCTATATGCATCAGGTACTATTGCAGTGAGTTCATTATCGCTGTCTACGAGTGAAAGCAATTGTTAAAAAGTGAAAAATCATCCTGTAATAAGATGCACATTCCATTTTATAACACTAATTTCAGGAAAAAGGCGTACATTAGACACGCGTAAATATGGTAATATTCCAAAATCTTATGCAGAAGTCTCTACATAATGTACCCTAATGAAATGGTAAAAAACTTTCAACATTAATCTTTTAATTTTATTTTTGCAAACTAATGATTCATCCTTCAGTCTTGAATTCTGGAACACTTTAGTCAGCAAATTCAATGACACAAATAGCTGTGACATCATTTATGTTTGGAAACTGTCCTTCCCACTTTTTGTGTCAATCCTACTTGAAACCACATGTTTCCCTACAGTAATGCGAGTAAAGTGTTTGTGATCATGTGACACAATGATGGTTTCAGCCGGTTTTGTCACTGTAACGAACTCCTTATTATAAGCCATACTCGCTACATCACAGTTTCACTGTGAGAGGTAACTGTTACTTCCTTTCCTCTCTCAATTTTACTCCATCATCTCTGATCTCTGTGAATCTGCTGCACATGTTACAATTGTATCCATAACTCACAGAATGTCTTTGCTCATATCCTGCTGTGGCAGTGGTGCCATTGGCAACAGGTGGCACTGGTACCATGTTGTAGCTTGCAAACACCATCTGAGGTTGTGCTGGTTGCTGACTCTGTGCTGGGGCTGGCACAAGGTTACCAAATACCACTTCTTGCTGCTGCTGATGTTGCAATGGTGGCACAAACTGCTGCTGAGGATATGAGTGTGTCTGAGTGTTCATTATACTGCTGTTAGTATTTGCTAGTTGTGGGCATATTGGTATGGAGGCCACAGGTAAAGTTGCAAGGTGTTGCTGAGGTTGTACTGGTTCTGTTGAAGGGGCAGCAGGGTTTGGCATGTAGGAGCATTGACTGGAGTGACAGACTGTGAGAACAGGCTGCTGGGGTGGGACAGAGATCTGAGAAGCAGCTGATGTATTGACTAATGTAGAGTTTGAATGAGGTTGTGAACTTGATAATGGGACATGGGTAGGTGATAAAGGTAAGGAAGGAGAGGTAGCAGTTGTTGTTACATGTGTTGAACATGAGGTTTTTGATGGAGACATGGCTGATGAAGCGGTGGGAAGATGAGCTGGAACAAAGAATAATACACAATTAATGTAAATCAAACTTTAACTGCAGTGCAAGATATTTTCACAACTCTTAGATGTAAGTGCCATACACTAATACTGAGAAATGCTGCCACATTAGTGCATCCTCCCCATCTTCCATCATGCACTGATACATAAAATATTTAATACCACTGCATGTCAGGTTTCCGTAAGTTTTAAGATTGTCAGTAATGAATACCATCTGTTTTACTGATTGACCTTTTCTAGAATCCTCAGTAGTTACTAAGTTTTCTATTTACACACATGCATGCGTGCGCGCACACACTCACTCTCTCTCATTCGCTTGTTCTCTCTCTCAACTGACTGACTCTTGACTTGGACTCTACTTGGACTGTCTCCCAGGCTGGTGGCCACCTCACACCATTCTACCTGCTGTTTCAGGACTTGCTAGTAATGAGCTGGTCCTCCTTATATAGCCTCAGCATGGACCCCATAGAAAACATATCTCCCAACAGTTCTTCTTTCTTGCACCATGTAGCTATTGGCATGGACCAGACAGAGAACACTGCTTCCCTGTTATTCCATTGATGCTTGTTACAAAGCTGCAGCCTAGCAACAGGCATGTTTACAGAGCCATTCCCTAGCAATGGCTGTCTCTGCTGGCTTCACAGTTCTTGCCATGAGCAAATATGCCACAATATATTACTAGAAGTGAAATGTACATTACTCTACACTCCTATCTTCAAACAATTCAGGTGTGTTAATTAGTTTAGGAGTTATGAGTTATGTTACGCTTCTAAAATTGTGGCTCTGAGCAACAAATGACATGGGCAAGCAGGTTGGTATGTTCTCATTGTGTTAATACATATAGAAACAATCTCTCTTATTAATTATACATGGACAGACTCGTCAGAAGACTGTGAAGCCAGCAGGGACAGCCGTTGCTAGGGAATGGCTCTGTGAACCTGCCTGTTCCTAGGTTGCAATCTGGTCTGGCCTTAGACTTGTATTCAGTAGCTATTAGGTTTGAATCTTTGTCAGGGCACTGTCTGTCCTGACTGAGGTTTTTTTTTGGGGGGGGGGTTTCCTCCTCAGTTCATCTAAGCAAATGATGGGATAATTCCAGATTAGGCCATGACCACTTCCTTCCAAATCCTTTCCAATTCATTATTCACCAGTCTTCCTAACATCCGATGCTGTACAGCCTGGATACTGAAAGAATCATTAAATAACCTACCACAAAAAACTGGTTGTTTGATTAATATGTCCTACAGTTGTTATTTTCTGATCAGTTTTGCCCTATGTGCACACCTAGGTCAAGCAAATGGAATAGTAATACAGTCAACTCTCGATTATCCGGGGGCGGATTAACCGGTTTGCGGCTTAACCGGGGCTACTGACGCTTTTTTGAGGCTTATATGTTGTTTAACATTCATTCACTTTTGTTTCACATGGCGAGTTGTAACACTATTTTCGCACTAGTGTGAACCGAGCTCTGCATTCTTTGGTCCCGTTATGCTAACACAATGTTCTAGGGTAGGGGTGAAAGAATGCAAGGATTTGTGGAAAGTTTCAAGGACAGATACATCGCCCCAGTTAGTATCTTTGTATTGATCTTCAAGTGCGTTAGCAAAATGTCAGTCTGTAAAAGGAAGCGTGTTGTGTTAAGTATTCAACAGAAAAAGGAAAATGCCGTGAAAAAGTAAACGACAATATTAAATTTTTTTAAGTGTTAAGTGTGAATGTTCGTAAAAAGTGTTGGATGTTGTCGAAGACTGTGATTGAAATAACTAATTCATACTTCAGTGTAATGTAAAAAAAGTATTAAATAGGCCATGAGATGACATAAAAATGAGGTTGAATAAATTTAAATGCAGGTAGGCCTATAGTATTATGAAGGTACAGTATTACAGTACTACTTTTAATAAAATTTGTCTTAACCGGGTTTTCGATTAATCGTGATTTCCATCCCCACCATTATCCCGGATAATCGAGAGTTGACTGTAGACTGGTATTGTTAAATGTAAACACTTTATTGATAAAGGGAAAAGGTAAAGCTGACCCTGTGTTTAATTGAGCACATACATAAGAATGTATGTGCGAGTGGAGGTACACCTCCACACATTCTTAACCTTCACACCAGCTGGAGCTGAGTTGAGAGCTTCACAACCTGGCTGCTTTACCCCTGGGAAAAGAGCCCTTAGTATCCACAGATAGGGGGCTGGGTGGGCCCAGAGACAGTCTACATTCTGTGGAGAAAAGAAAAATCCCTGGCCACTGCATAGAATCAATTTCCCAAATTTAAATGATTCCTAGCCATCTCAATCTTCAAGAAAGCATGAGGATTGACAAATGAAATAAAAGGTCTCATGTAACATAGTCTAAAATTCTTACAGTAAAATAAATACAAGGTTACGCACACTTCTGGTTTTGGCAAGTTTGCTGCTGTACTGGTGGCTGCATCTGCTCAGAGCTGCCTGCGCTCTTGAGGTGACTGCCAGTAACATCACTGCCATTGCCACTCTCACCCTCTTCATCTGTCACAACCTTGGGAGGATTCGCTGGGTCATAACGGTACACTGAGCCATCAGAATTAATATATGGCTGCCCCGTCTGTCAACATAATCAGTGACATCAGCCCACTGGGAAACTTACCTTCACCTTCATCCTACGTTTCATGTAACACTTATCAGATGAGCCAAGAGGCAGCACTATGAAAATATACCAATTACTGAAAGCATGAAATTGGCAACAACCATTCAATCATTTATTTCATTGACATATGTACCATAAAAATGTAAACAATAATTTCACTCAAACACTGTTTTTACTTGCAGTAACTTCAAAAAATTACATTAAGAAAATATGGCTACTCTGATGGGTGAACAGAAAGGAAAATATTATGAAGCTAACACCCATTTATGGATGCTTGCAAAGGCTTAATTGCATTCAATGACATACGTATTGAATTAGTCGCATCTGTCCACGAAATTTATTTTTTAAGAGTTCATGAAGGAATCAACATCACTACAACGGAGCCCAAAATTCTTAAATTTGTTCCTATTGTTGCTGTAGTAATTTGTACAGAATGTATAAAGTGGCTGGCTGTCTGTCTGGATATTTTAGCTCCAAAAGTATTGGACAGATTTCAACGACATAATTTAGAGTCTACAATAAAAATTGTCATGTGAATTTAAATTTATTTCTAAGTAACTTACCTGTGGATTTATGAGTACACTGCCGGGAGGAACGGAAGCCATGCTGGTCACAGCCCACATCACAGTCTGGTTCTGTTCATGACTATTTGACTCAAGTGTGTTTTGTGGGGACAATGCCCCATGACTAGACATCTGAAGATATAAACCACATTCATCAGATAGTCAAACACAATATGCTATATTCCATAACTTGTCAGCCTGTCAATATATTGTTCTTAGGAACACCAAAAGTGAAAACTGTAGCTGGAGTCATAACTAATACAAACTGTAAGTAACTTGCTTAAACCTTGAAAATAAGAAACATAAGAAAATTCTTCTACAAAAATAATTGCTGTGAGTAGAAATTCACATAGAACATGGGCTATACTGTGAAAATGAGATATGCTGTTTAAAGTTATTCTTTCATTCACCTTGCTTACAAGCTTGTAAACCTCTGTCAACTACCATCATGGAGAACAAAGGCAAGTATGTTCACAGTCTCTCAACTATACAAGTGATTGAATTATAAAGCCAGCTGTTTATTTGCCTGTCCTTATGAGAGCAATGGCGAAGACTGTGGTGGAAATTCTCGTTGTATAAAAGTCAAGTTGACTTACAAGTGATTCTAAAGTCAGTCTGATATAAATGGCAAAACAAATGTTACTATTATTCTGGATGCTGATGATATGACTAGTCAAAGTTGACATTGCACCTAATTTAAGATACAGCTGAAGACAGTAATGGTTTACTATAGATATAAACAGTAAACAGAGTGTACAGGAGATCATAAGATCTTTGGTCATAAACTGTTTGAATCATTATGTGATGAAATAAACCAGTACTATCTATATAAATCATAAAATAAAATTTTACAGAAAATCCTGAAATAGACCAGCATTACTCCAAATGAAATGAAAAAAAGATTAAGAGGTCCAGAGGTCCACAGTTAGAGTCTCAGGTGCACAAAAGGAGCCGTTTTCAAAGGTACCACATTATCCCGAGGTACAATAACATGCCTGTATGAATATTCTCTGCAAGTTGGTGGCAGCAAGGCACCATAAGCCCTTTATGCCCAGGAAGATTCTTAGCACTCCTTCCTGTTAGAGGCTGAATCAACCCCAGGGCTACAGTACAGCTGGAAGGATTAGGTCAATTGAAAAATCCACTGACTTCATCAGGAATGGAACCTCCTACCTTCTGGCTTGTAGCACAGTATCTCAATCAAGTACACCCCCCAGGAACTGAAGAAAGCATGGAGTACTTATATCAAGTACAAAATGTGTTAAAACTTCTTCCAGAGCTATATGAAAGGAAAAACATAAACATATACTATACTCCTGACTATCCATGCATAGATTATCTGTGCAACTTTTAGGAGTGTTCACATCCTTGTGGAGCACCTACTGAGATCATTTAGTCTGTTGGGCCACTAAAACAACTGTTGCATATTCATTTTCATCTGTATTGAATAATTTTAGCAACCATTTTACAAGAAGACTTATATATATTTCTGTGCATACCTTAAGCATAAAAAAAGTAAAAAGTAAAGCTATCCCTGTAACAGGCTGTGAAGGCCCATAGGGTTGTGAGACGTTAAGGGTCCCACATTACCTTGACAATCGGCTCAAAGATGGCGGTAAGGTTGTCAGCCTTACATGCCGGCCATGCTTCACTCCCCAGGAAAATTATTAAATTAATTCCTGGTACTCATTTCTGTTAGAGGCTGAGTAAACCACAGGGCCTAGTGCGGCCGGAAGGATTAGGTCAACTGAAAAAAATTCAATGACCTCATCAGTATTTGAACACGCAACCTTCCGGCTTGTAGCATAGTACCTTAACCACTCTGCTACCGTGTACCTTAAGCATAACCCACTAATATTTATCAAAGTGAAAAATGTTTTGAATGTAAACTGTAAAGGAACATGAATAAAACATTTTATGTTTTCCACAAATCATAAGGTTTTTGAGGTAACTGAACACACTGGGCATTATGTGTACAATTCTTAATTCCTATATTCAGCTATCACCATATACTTCTGATCACACTTGAGACTGGATTGAGGATTTCCCCTCCATTAACATGGATAATTGGGAGTATATTGTATTATGTACATGAAGTACCAAATGCTTAAGCAGCAATCCAACAAACTTCTAAACTGGGCAGCTTCTAGTACTTTCACTGGGAGTAACATACGTCAGTAGTGTCTTTCAATTTCTGTACATGAAAAGCGTTTTAGCTAAATATATGATGCAACCTTATCCTACACTAAGCAAAGGAATATCCAACATAATATGCCTGTGTGTTTACACTGAACCAAACAGATGCTAGCTCACCTGAGGTTGGGTAGAGCTGGAGATGCTCAACTGAGATACAGGGGTAGCGGTTGGGGAAGGTGTGGCTGACGTAGTCGTGTCCGAGCGTTGGGACTGTGACTTATAGCCAGAACTGGAAGGACTGAGGCGGGAAGACATGCTGCTACCAGAATCTAAAAATAGTTTGCATAATAATCATGAATATTCAAAATATATTCATATTCATTTTTAAGAAACTACTTCAAATACTCTTGATTTTAAAGGATACTTATATTCAACATGAAAGAAGTGACACAGGAGAGAGAGGATTGGAGATCTTGTATGGAAATATAGAAAAAAGAAATTCACAGTAGTTTGGCCATGTCATGCAGATGAAAAATGACACAATACAAAAGCTAGCTTTAGATATATACCCACTGGGACCAAAAATGAGGTGTTTTAACCAGCTGAAAGCAGGTAACATGACAGAAAGAGCCTAGACTAGGGATGTTGAATCTACAGCACACAAGACAAATTTGTTTGGCAAATAAATATATTTAATATGCTTCCTATTTTCACCTTTCACTGATATGACAGAGGTTCAACTGAAACCCCTTTCGATTCCAACTACAGAATGAGGATGTCTTCTCAAGGCAGCTCACTGCACATGACTACTGATTTGTCTAAAATTCTGACTCTGGATCTGGTTATGATCATTATGGCATCACATATTGCACTATTTGTAGCTAATTTTCTAGATTAATTCATGCCTATAAAATCTGGAAACAATAGTAATTATAGCATCAAAAATGATGGAAATCAGCTCTGATCTCCAGATGCTCTTCTTATAAATTCCTTGCATTTATGGCATCCAATCTCAAAAAGGTTTCTCGCTCATGGCCTAGAGGAAAGGTTGCAATGGTGTAAACACTTCTGTGAAGAGATGGTTTAGAGAAGTGGAAATGCCAAGTGATGAGTTACCCTCATAATTAACACGCTTCAGCTATGTGGAGTATGAAATTGTCATTTTTTTTCTTCTTATCTGAAGTAGAGTTAGGAAGGCTGCAGGCCTGCCTTATTTGAAAGTAAAGTCCTTTCTTTCTCATCCCAGTAAATATTTGTATTGACAAGATGATTAGCTACTGCAATTTTTTTGTCTAATATATAATTAGGAAAGAGTAAGCTGTGTTCAGCACATATCAGACTTACTCATAGCATTCCTCCATCACATACTCGTGCATTACTGTGAAATTCTTTTAACAATGTTTACTCGTGCAGTAGCATTTCCACTTCTAGACACAAGAAGTGGTTGATTTTAAGATATAGAAACAATTCCAAATATTAATACAAATAAAAACTGAATAATAAATCTTGATCTGTATCTTAATGTAAAGAAAATATTGCAATTGTTTCACATGATATTGTTTTATATCTTCATGTAATAAATATTATAGTTCAAAATGTAACACAACAATCTGTGTTGAAGGGTAGGAGATGAAAATTCATTACATTTATTGTAAAAAAACAAATATGTACCTTGCTTTGTGAGCAGACGGGCCCCTGCACTGTGCGTGCTTGTGCAACTGTCTCCCCGAGAAAGCATAGCCATTGGGTAGCCTCCAAAACTATATGACTTCGACACTGAGTTTCTCAGTGAGTTGGCTTTTAAAGTATCACGACACTCAAATGATTCACCCTTTGGGAGACGCATAGGCCTAAGAGCAGAAGAACAACACTGACTTCAGACTAAATAAAATATGAATCAACACATTTCAAGGCTTATAACATCTTGTAATGCATGCCATTACAAAACCACAACCAAACTCAATAAAATTACAAGCTCATTTCCAAGCTACATTCAACCAGAAGAGCAATGGCAATGAGATTCAGTATGAAGCCAAACCAGTCTGTTCACACAGCTCCAAATTTACTGTTCTACACCCTAAAAAAATTACAATATCAAAAGTTGTATGCTTGTTCAAGATATTGTGGTATGGAAACCCACTACTAGGCAACAACCATGAAATAAGTGACTACACAGAAGCCATTGCTAGATAACAGCTCCACCAACGGACACAAATGCAACAATTCCACTGTAATAGAGGAGCTGTTTTCTATGCGGTCCATGCCGAGGTGTTACGAGCAGGACATACGGACAGAGCCAGTCAGTGGAGTGGAGCTAGTGAAGAATTGGTTGATGAGTGAGTGAGTTGGTTAGAGGACTGCTGCAGTTCAGTCATTGTGAGCTGGTAGATGAAGCTGGGAACCCAGAGGAAGGGAATGTCTGCCATTGAAAGCTGCTACTAAGCAACAGCAGGTGGAGACTGTAACAGACTGAGAATACTAGTCTGTGTGACAGTGATTTGTGAAGTGTAGTCACAAGTTGTGTGTTAAAGTGTTCAACATATTAGATTATCAATCCAAACCCTGTCTATAGTCACTAAAATAGCGTGACAATGTGTTAATATAACATGAATCAACTTATGACCTTATATTACACGGCACCAGCGTTGAATCAATCTCACATGTTCATATTATCTGCCATGTTGTTATTAATTACCACAGGAAACACAAAATACAGGGTTCGGCTAGCTCCCAATGGCATACTGTTCAGGTGAAATTTTGGGAAAACTTGTCAGTAGGCTAAAACACCGATAGGAGATATACATATATCTGGCAAATCTCTCTGTAACTTAAAGGGAGTTGGAAAGTAAAGCATGCCATATTCCATGCTGAGTGAGGATAATGTAGACATGCAGGACTTCAAAGCCACATAAAACTTCTACTGAACTTCACAGCATTACGTATTTCAGATACTATTCCTCAAAGTTACTGCTGTGAAAATTGATAATCCAACTAGCTAAAGTATTTGTTCTTCATGCAAGATTTATTGAAATGGACTGGAATGAAATGACAGAACACATACTTATTATGATGATCTTATACACATTTGTGTTATAAAATATGCACCTTTCGCAATACACTACACAGAACACTGCACTGTCACATATCTTTTAATAAACTTAATGCATGTAACTATGTGTATTAAATTTCATTACATTACTCTTCTACATGCAATTATAATTGCATGTAGAAGAGTAATGTAATGAAATTATATTATTAATTATTAATTAATTAATTATAATTATAATTAATGAAGAAAAAATTATGGACAGTGATCACTTTATGTACTATTGTATGTTATGTAGTCTCCTACCAATCACAAAGCAGACATGACAGAAACAAATCATGGAAAGAGAAGGATGAAATTAAAGAGGAATGACAAAGCAATGAATTCTTCCAGTGACTAATTCAATATTCTCAACATCTTTAGTATTATCTGAATTGAGTGGTTAAAGATTTTGTTACACCAAATATTTTGTATCCTCACTCAGAGGCTTATTATGAGCTGTCCTTTACAAGAAAAAGTCCTGACCACTATTTTATGCATGACAGAAGGCATATAATTAAAGTCAATCTGAACTGTTCATGCACAAGATACATTATGAACCAGCCAGTATTCCGTACTTTTTATTCAAAATGACTAACAACATTGAAAAGGTACATCTGTTAAGTCATTCTATTTCATGTTTTGGATGAACTGGCAACTTCAGTGAGACATATTATTTCAAGCTTCATATTCAAGTCTAAGCAAATTTGTTTCACTGCCATAATTAGTGTTAACACTTTTTAACTTCAACAACATGCAGCACAATTACAGACAAATTTTCATCTCCTGTTCAATAACCATGAAACAAAATAAACAACAAAATAAGCTATTGGAAATTTTGCAGAACCTAAAATCTGGAGCAGACTTAACTCTACAACCTTCAAATCATGCAGCCCTACAGCAACTATGTAATAATTTAAGGAACTGGCCCTATTTTTAAACCACTGGGTAATGCTCACTACCATTCAGTCCAGAACCTTTTGTCTTCTCGTCTTCTGTCCAAAAACATAAAAATTACAATATACAAAACTATAATTTTGCCGGTGGTTCTGTATGGGTGTGAAACTTGGTCTTTGACATTAAGGGAGCAACATAGACTGAGGGTGTTTGAGAACAGGGTATTGAGAATATCTGAACTGAAGAGGGATGAAGTGACAGGGGGTTGGAGGAAACTGTATAATGAGGAGCTTCATAACCTGTACTCTTCTCCAAGTATAATTAGAATGATCAAGTCAAAGGGGAAGCACAATAAATCACTGTAGGTCACGGTGCAAGGGCTGAGAAGGCCCATCTCTTATACATTCATTCATTCATTCATTCATTCATGATTAAGTCAGGGAGGATGAGGTGGGCAGGGCATGTAGCACGAATGAGGGAGATGAGGAATGCATATAGGGTATCGGTGGGAAAGCCAGAAGGAAAGAGACCACTGGGAAGACCAAGTCATAGGTGGGTGGGCAATATTAAAATGGATCTTAGAGAGATAGGATGGGATGGCATGGATTAGATTGATCTGGCTAAGGACTGAGACCAGTGGAGGGCTCTTGTGAACACAATAATGAACTTTTGGGTTCCATAAAATGCTGGGAAATTCTTGAGTAGCTGCAGATTTGGCAGCTCCTCAAGAAGGGCTCAGCTCCAGGAGTAAGTAGGTAACTAGAAAAGCTATCTGCCTCTAGGATGAGTAAATGCCCTGTTCAAAAATGTAGCACTCATAGGATGAAATGGAGATTTTCTTCTCCTAGACGGGAGGAGGCACATGGGGTGAGTAAATGGTAACTTTATTGACTGTCTGTTATAAACAGTTTGGAAAGCAACACTGCAAATGCAATCAGTGCAAACAAGAATGAGAGAAGTTGTGGCTTGTTTTACATCACTCACAGTAACAAGAGGGCTGTAAAAAATCCCTCATTTTAAATGAGACTTTTCCACATACATTACATTACAAATTAATAATACCAGTGTTTATTGTCACTATAATGATGTTCTCGTCATAAGTCAAGCTTGTTCCATCACTGATGATGCTGCATACGAAGGGGGACCCAAAAATAACCGGAACCGACCTGTTGCGCGCGCATGCTTTGTAGTTACGAGTTGTGCTGCTAGGTGGTGTTAGCTGGGGGTCTCCCGCGATTGTTAGTGAGCTGGTGTCAGTCTGAGTTAAGTGGTTTGCCTGTGGTGCTCTGTTGTGTGTGTTCCTGTTTCAACCCTTTGGCGATTAGTGAGATGGCCGACCAGAAGGAACAAAGAGTGTGCGTGAAATTTTTTTCTTTCTGTTAGGGAAAACTGCAGCCGAGACTGTTGGGATGCTTCGGCAAGCCTTTAATAATGATGCTTTGGGGAAATCACAGGTCTACGAGTGGTTTTCCCGTTTCAAATCTGGCAACATGTCAACAGAAGACATGCCATGCCCCGGGCGTCCTTCGACAGGAAGAAATGACGAAAACATTGCCAAAATCAAACGTGCAATTGATGAAGATCGTCGAAAGACCATTGACCAACTTTCTGAGGAAACGAACATCTCATGGAGCACGGTCCAGCGAATTTTAACCGAAGGTTTGCACATGAGACGGGTGTCTGCAAAATTTGTTCCTCGCTTGCTCGGAGATGACCAAAGAGAAAACCGCGTGAATGTTTGCCGCGACTTGAAGAGTGAAGTGCAGAACGATCCAGAATTTCTTAAAAGAATTGTGACTGGCGATGAGTCTTGGTGCTACGGGTACGATCCAGAATCAAAGCAATCATCAAGCCAGTGGAAAACTCCAACTTCACCATGACCGAAGAAAGCGCGTCAAGTGCGATCCAATGTGAAAACAATGTTGATTTGTTTTTTTGATGTGAATGGCATTGTCCACAAAGAGTTCGTTCCGCCAGGACAAACAGTGAACCAACATTTTTACCTGGATGTGTTACGAAGATTACGAGAGAGTGTGCGACGAAAACGGTCTGAAATGTGGAGAAATGGGAACTGGTTGCTTCACCACGACAATGCTCCAGCCCACACAGCTTTGACGGTCTGACAGTTTTTGACAAGCAACAACATGGTGATTGTGCCTCAACCACCTTACTCACCCGACCCGGCTCCGTCGGACTTTTTTTTTTGTTTCCACGGATGAAGAGAAGTCTGAAAGGAAAGCGATTCCGTGATGTGGATGAAGTCAAAGAAAACACGCTAAAGGCTTTGAACAGTATCCAGCCTCAAGAATTCCAGCACTGTTTTGAGCAGTGGCAAAAGCGTTGGGACAAGTGCATTAATGCACATGGACAATACTTTGAAGGGGACTAATATACAGTTCAATAAAAATGCAAAAATAAAAAATAACAAAAATAAATTCCGGTTATTTTTGGGTCCCCCCTCATATTTACTTCTGACTGATCAATTTCAGGCTAAGAAGTTCTAAAATCAAAGTTCTTAAGTAACCATAACCATAGCAGCCTCCATAGTCTAGGGGTAATGTTCCCACCTCATGACTCAAGGTATGCGGGTTCAAACCCGGCGGAGGTCGTGGAATTTTTAAGGGCGGAAAAATTTAGGGAACAAGTCCTCCGGGAGGGACTTTAAGCCGTGGGTCCCGTGTCGTAGATTTACGGCACGTAAAAGAACCTCATGTCTCTAGGAGACCTCTGAGCTAAATCTGGCCAAAAATTTTCCCCCCCAAAGTAGTTTCCAATGCCTCCGGTAGATGGGGAAAGTATTAGGTACCACTGCCAGAGGAGGGGGGACCTCTCTGACAGAAAGGGACTAACTATTAGATACCACTGCCAGTAGAAGGTTGGAACCTCGCTGGCAGAAAGGGGTTGATAGTAAGCACCAGTACCGGTAGGGTATGAAGACAGTAGAAATTAAAAGGGGGGACACACAATGGACCAATAACTGGTCTAAGTGCATGGGGAAGTACACCCCCTCAATACTGAATACTGAACCATAACCATAATCTACCAACCATATTAGTGTTCGGTAGTGTGCATCTTGCCTGCTAACATGAATGCATGAATGTCTCCACTGTGAAACTGATTTTATTATTGCTTTCAAGCAATAATCTTGGGCCACTAGTTGTGAAATACTTGAAGTTACCTGAGTTGGTTGTTATCACAGGCATGCAGTAGCATGTTTGAGCGTAGACGTGATGATGTATCACTGTCAGAACTACTCCATGGCTGTACTTCTCCTGGCCACCTCAGTTCCTCTTGGCTACTGCGTCGAGAAGAGTCATGCAGGGAGTCATTGCATCTGTCCTATTATCAAACACAACATATATATTGCTTCATACATATACTGGCAAAAATTACTCTTTGTTAAAGGACATAACACTAGGGTTATAGAAGAGAAACATTACCCAGATATCAGACAGCTGAACATCACATGAAACTTACAATTCTCAAGATGAGTACAAAGTATACAATGACCCGCTGTTGACACAACACAATTCTGATCCATTTCACACAAAGCGTTCCACTAATATTCAGTACATGGGCCATAAAAATAAATAAAAGGTGAGAACAAACAAGAATAAAGCAAATGTGATCATGGAGCATTTACTCCAGCTGTGTTACTCAAAGCATGTTGATGTCAATGGGAAGCTCTAAGTGTGTGTTTTGACACCAAGATTGTGGCAGGACTACCCTACTAACAAGCTAATGACCACACTTTAATATGCGGCAAAGTAAAGAAGTCTGTGACCTTACACTACCCATTGCAGTACTTGCATGAGTCTTAATTTTGTGCATATGTAAATGGAAGGCAGTGACAGAATCATTCAGGCTTGTGTGCTCACTCAACACGAAAGACACCAAAATCTCTTCACTTTAATAATTTTTGGCAAATGGCAAAATCCGAGAAGTAAGAGAACATTAAATTTTGTACAGTACAATCTTCTGGGATGTTATAGGACATAATCTTGTAGGCATTGAGTCTTCTGGCCCTGCTTGCTGTTTCCTTTGCTTACTCTTCAATCCCAAAAGATGGAGACAGTATGTTCTCTCAAACATCGGCGAACTTATACTGGTCTACACGATGTAACATCCAAGAAGATGCCCTTCATAGTCAGTGCCATGAGTACCTCAAATTTCACATTAAATTTTGTGACAGTCAGGTACACTTGGTCTCTGACATTAAGGGAGGAAGATAGACTGAGGGTGTTTGAGAACAGGGTGTTGGAGAAAACTGCATAATGAGGAGCTTCATAACTTGTACTCTTCTCCAATTATAATTAGAATGATCAAGTCAAGGAGGATGAAGTAGGCAGGGCATGTAGCATGAGTGGGGGATATGAGGAAAGCATACAGAATATTGTTGGGAAAGCCAGAAGGAAACAGACCATTGAGAAGACCAAGGCATAGGTGGGTGAACAAAATTAAAATGGAACTTAAGAGAGATAAAATGGGATGCTATGGATTGGACTGATCTGGCGCAGGATAGGGACCAGTGGAGGGTTCTTGTGAACACGGTAATGAACCTTCAAGTTCCATAAAATGCTGGGAAAGTCTTGAGTAGCTGCAGAATTTGCAGCTCCTCCAGAAGGGCTCAGTTCCATGAGTGAGTGAGTGAGTGAATGGGTGAGTGGGTGGGTGAGTGAGTGAGTGAGTACAGTCAGGCACAAGATTATCACATACAGTGACAAAGCCATGGGTTGGACTGTAGAATGAAGGTTTGAAATTTGGGGTGTGGGGAGAGGCTAACAAACACTGGAAGACACCTACAGAAAGGAAGGTCAGGAGTAATTTCTAATGAGGAAATAATTACCAGTGTTTGAGAGGACAGAAGATGAATAACTGACAATACAGCATAAATCACTGATGCGTCACATGGAATGTGTCATGCTAATTTGCATGATTAACATGCATCAAGTGCATGTGTATCTTGTTCAACAAAATCCCATACAACTGAATATGAAGAATTATCCTTCATTAGCTGGGACATGACTTTAGTCCATACTGAACCAGGAATTCGGCAACAATGCTTTTGGGGACAATATAATGAGTGCTGTCTATCAAATTCACAACCCAAAAGTCAAGCATCATGATGGAAGTTACTTTAAACACACAGGAAGCAGATTAGTTACACAGACTATTTAAAAGGAAAGGTGATGCCAGAGGCGTCCTTCAGCAGCCAGGGAATTGCTCACAACTTCATTCCAAAAAAGTGTGTTGTAAAGAAGACCATGTACCGACATTCCTCAAAGTATGTGAGAAGTTATCCACCACAAATGCCTTCATCTTTGGGAAACCAGCAACTCATCCATGACTATACACCAATTCATCACTCTACTTTGGTAGCAAACTCTCTGACCAACAGTAGTATCACTATAGTTTCACATTCTCCAGTAATGTCTTCTGATTACTTCTTTTCCCAACAATGAAATCCCTCTTGGAGGGGCACACACTGCAGTCTTAAGAAGAGGTAAGAGAGATTATGAAGTTAGAACCAAGGGAAGTTACAGAAAAAGGGCCACAGGAGTGTTTCTTGTAGAAGAAACAGAAACATGTAACAACAGATTGAACTACACATGCACCGAAATCTTCCATGGGACAGGTGTGTTCAAGTGGGTGTAAATTCACTAACTTACTTGCATTACCACATACAATATGAGAACTACATATTCTGAAACACAATAATTTCCATTCAAAACCTGGTGACCGAAGTGTGTGCAATCCAACTTGCGAAAAGGATTGAAGATGACAAAATAACACAAACCATGACATAAACACATCTGGAAACGAAACTCTTATCAAATATTCGTAATATACAACACATAGAATATGAGTCATGGTATTGTACAGCAGATGACTCAGATATGAAGTTTAGGTAAGGCTACTGCCAAGATACCCTGACGAATCAAATATATTGACCCCATAAAATGAGAGTATTTACGGATTATTGCCAACAAAGAGTTCATACTATGAAAGACTAATGAAATATTAGAAGGTTTGAAATTTTCATGGTGGTGATTGTTCAGACTGTAGTTTACAGGCCTGTGACACTGTGTAGTCTTGTAGGCTGATATCAATGTATCAGAAAAAAAAGCTATCTCCAGCTTCATGGTTAAGTGTAGTAAAGTAAAGCCATCCCTGTAACAGGCCGTGAAGGCCCATAGGGTTGTGAGACACTGAGGGTCCCACATTATCTAGACAATCGGCTCATAGATGGCGGTAAGGTTGTCAGCCTTATGCACTGGCCGCGCTTTACTTCCCAGGAAAATTATTTATTTAATTCCTGGTACTCATTTGTGTTAGAGGCTGAGTGAACCCCGGGGCCATAGTGCAGCCGGAAGGTTAGGTCAATTGAAAAAATCCAATGACCTCATCGGGACTTGAACCCGCAACCTTCCGACTTGTAGCATAGTGCCTCAACCACTACGCTACTGCGTGCCCTTGGTTAAGTGTAGAGAGCGAGGAATTGGCTCAGTGATGTCACTTTCTTGACATGGCAGCATCACAACTCAGAAGACCACAACCTGACCAATCACTGCCATGAAAATCTCGAAACTTAACACCAATTACCTCTACAGGGAAGCAATGTTACAGATTCATTTACTGGGCACCTGCTCTATCAAGAAAATGATACAACTGAACCAGGTCCTCACCTACACACTTCAAATCTGGAACTACATTCCTCTGAAATGCCAGTATCTGTCTACAAGACCACATGATAAAACAACCCAAAGTGTATAGGAAGTAAATAATCTGCTTGAGAAATGAGTGTTTTTAACCACCTAATTTACCAGTCTGTAACCATGACAAATCTATTCAATCATATCATTCTGCCAAACATTCTAAATATCAATATCATGTTTCTTTGACTATATTTCTGGCTATTAATACATAACAATGTTACAATACAAGATTTTAGTAACAATCATGAATACAAGCAGAAATCTACATACATTAACTTACTAACATTAATTTATACTTCACCTTTAGACATAAAATTCTTCCTGTAATCTATATGATACTACAGTATTTGAAACATCAAACAAGTTTCTACAATTTAAAATATCACAGTATGAAGACTATAAAAAAATTATGACAGCAGAATAAAGCATGACACAAAGCTTACACAAACACACAACAGTGACAAACATGTACAGTAGCAGCAACAAGGGAAAAAAATCAACATTACAAACACAGGTAGACAAAACACATGAAGCAAAACATCATGTAACGAAGGTGACATTGCAAAGCATGACTTCAATGATTTGTGGGGGATTGCAGGGGGCCAGATTTTCTGTACTCACTTCGCGATTAAATATCCTTTTCCTTGCTTTTTCATATTCCTCCTCGCGTTCCTCGAAACTTTTGCTCCGTCGCGACTCGGAGCTAAACTGCCTCTCGGGAGACTGCAACAGGGATTCATAATCGAGACGGGGTTGCCAGTCTGTTAGAACTCGGATGTTCTATTCCTCATAATGACAAAGTGACGTAATTCCAAAATAAGATAAACCCATGACAAGAAAGGAAGACAAAGATGAAAAAACTGAATAAGATGCTTCTACACCACAAAATGGCAGAAGTGTCTGCAGCTCCCAGACTGCATTGGCTTGTGATATGACAGCTGCATGTTTGTGTGTGGTTCTTCGGTGTCTGAAGAGCATTTCTAGATCTAACTAACAGCTCACTGAACTGGTCTATCATGTTGTCATGCATCACAAATTCTGATAAGCAAGCAAGATGTTACATTGAACACAAAATTAATATTTTTATACAAGCTTGTGAAACACAAATTATAAATTACAAGCTAACTAGACTTCAACCTTAATAATAAATGTATCCATCCTCATGCTTCAACTCAGAAATTGCTGAGTGGGTTTGAATTAGCCCTGGTATTTCATTCTACAACATACATGGTAAGGTCAATTTAATTTTGGTTTAAATCTATCCAGTATAAATCTTATCATGTAAGAATTGAGGTTCAACTTTCTCAAAAAAAAAATTACTCATTATACAGAGCTCTTCCATAAATCTCATTGGTTTTACAGCCTCTAGTTGATATATATATATTACATAATAAAATACAAGCAAGATAATAAGTCCCTATACTCCTAAGAGTTCCATCAGCAAGACTTGTATGTTGCTCTATATTAAAAAAAATTTGTATTAATTCCTACCATAAGACACCATAACAACGTGCGCGAGATGAAATCAACCAATAAACTGAATTATATCTCCTATAAATGAACATTCATACCACAGAGGAATTCAAATTCACTAATAGCACAAGTGGAAAATATTAGATATGTGCAAGTCTCAAATATTTAAATTGAATCGAGAGAAGAAAAAAATTGTTCTCCATTCAAATGTTATTTTTATTCTAAATTTTTAGATCTTCCTGATAACTCTATTCTTTGCAAGCCGGGATCATGTCAAAAAGGGCCAGTATCATATTTGCCCAAATGGAAGATAAGGTTCTTTCCCTTTCAAGGGTTCCAAAATTATGGGTCGTCATTGTTGTCAGCGTCATAAAATATATATATATATATATATTAGATGTTTCTAATCTATTTTAAGTTTTTAGCATTGTCATGACACAGTTCATAACATGAATCACTATCACGCTATAATGCTATGAGAGTATCAAATAAAGCACGAGAAACAGGAATATATTTCAAGGTCATGGTCTCTGAGCTCCCACAAGCTTACATAAAGTACAATCAAAGTTACGAAACAAAAGCACTCTTCGCCAGTTTACAATATCATGTTATTCTGTGCTCAACACAAAAATTGCAGGTCATGTCAAGAAGAGAAGTACTGGTTTTATCACAGAATATCAGGTGCTGCAGCTATGGTTCATACTTTTAAGACTAGGACGATTAAGTATGAAGAACAAACAACTACAGAGTGGCAAGAAATTACAGCATTCCAGAAGCAAACATCAGAAGGTGGAAACAACAAAAACTGGAACTTATGCCAACTTTATGTGAAAAATGTAATTTGTGCACATTCAGTGACAGAACAGAATATCAGCTTCATACAACATCATTCCTCAGTGAGAGGGTGAAATTTTAATTCCATTTCAGAATGGTGTGTACGCCACAGCAAAATTCACTTCGCAAGAAGTTATCATCACACTTTGAGGCAATGTCAGAAGAAATTCCACCCAGTTACACCATCAATGACAATGACAATCATCGTAGGTGGAAGATCTGTTGCCATAAAAATATGAGGCAAAGAGAAGATATGAGCGAACATAACAATGATTGAGTTGGCACGCAGCCAATAACTATATCTAAGGTGCAAGGGCCGTGCCATAGCTCAAGCGGTTAGTCGCTGGCTTCCCACTGCGGTGGCCCAGGTTTGATGCTGGGCCTGGTCAAGTGGGATTTGTGGCGGACAAAGTGGTGCTGGGGCAGTTTTCTCCAAGTACTTCTCATTCTTGTCTCATTTCCTGAAGATTTTCCAAATTCTCATTTTCAACTAAAAAAGTAATTCTAAAAATGGCTATCAAACATACTGTGACATATAAAACCGTTGCTAGGCAATGTCTGTGGCATAAGTAAATATATGATAGCCTTTCCTTTACTGAGTAAAGGCTTTGCAAACAGACATGTTCCCATGGCAACAATTGAACTACAACGATGAGGAATGGGTATTTATGCATGCCAAGGCCATATAAGAAGACCCCAGTGTGACAGTCAATCAGATGATTAGGAGGTGGTGTGGGATGGCTGCCAGTTTTGGAGTTAGCTGTGAGAAGTTACCGGCCAGTACGGACATGAACATAGAAGCTGAGGAAGCTACAGCATTGAAAGCCGTTACCAGGCAGCAACCGGTGAAGATACAGCAGACTGAGAAGACTCTGTACGTGCTGTAGTGAATTGCAGTGTGTGTGAATTAGCAATAACGCCTTAGATACTTGTAGTTATGATCTGTAAGTGATCAATAAATCCAATGACCAACCCAAACCCCATTTCAAGTCACTCATACGCAGAACAATATATACTCAACTGGAGTAGAGCCTTTTACTGCTGCTGAAATGTAGTTAGTTTGAACTATGACAAGACAACTGAAGCATAATTCTGAGCAGCTCAAACTCATGGAAAATGTCATATGGCTGATATGCATTAAGAAAATTAAGTATCTAGAAGTGGCAGAAGGTTTTAAAAAGTTTCTGATCACTAGACCAAAACAGCATAATAAATATTTTTTCCAAAACAAATTTTCATACAAAAATGGAACAATTACTTGCAGAACACAGAAAATTTTAATACATGCTAGATTTATCAAAAGCACAATTTTCAAGGAACCAAGCCTCCATGTTGGACAAGGACTTACTGTACACATATATGTAGAGTAATCCAGAAGTATTGAAACACTCTGAAAAATGCATGACCTGTTATTTCTACTGAAACATTCTGGATGAACGCCGAAAACAGCCCATTTTTATTTTGGTTTTTAAAATTGATAAATTTGGTGAGTGGTGTTTTATATACTGCATTTTTTACAAATACATACAGAAAATAACCCGTGAATGTGAGGTCCAGAGAATGAGGCAGCCAACCAGCTGGTCCATCACTAATGCTTGATCTACCAATTTTTACATAACTGCAACAACAGCTGGCCACAATAAAGATTTTGTGCCACTCAAGGACAGAGTATTTGGTGGCAAGATCATTACTGTAATATGTCAGTGTCCATTCTTTTATCCTACTAAATCTAAATTTCACTTGTCATCTGTTCAGGAAGCAAAACAAGGACTTCCCCACGCTGCCACTCATGATCCTCTGCAACCAAATCATGACCTACAGACATGGTAAAATACAATAGTACAAGCCGTCAAAAAATTATGTATCCAGTTTCTTTAACTAACATACAGTAAGGGTAGATGCATTCACCATATAGGAGAGAGTCAGTAAATAGGTCACAAAGGGAAGTAAATCAGCTGTAATGGACATAATAGGTTTTCTATATGTATCACTAGGCAGCAGCACAGTACAGTTTCATGACAGTCTAGGGAGAAGATTTTCATGCGCATGTTCAGAGACTGGTTTCAGTAGTCAAATTGGCGACCATGCTTCAGTGTATACTACCAAAGAGCAGAATTCTGTCATGCAGTTTTTTTTTTTGTGGGCAGAAGGACTCAATGCAAAGGATATTCACAAAGAAATAGTTCCTGTTTACTATGGGAAGTGTGTGTTGCATAAAGTGGTTCATAACTGGGTCAAGAAATTATCTCAAGGGGGTTCGAAAGTCGCAGATGATGACCAACTAGGTCACTCTGTTGAGATTGCAACAGAAGCAATTGTGCAGCAGGTGGAAGAGTTGATTCCAGCTGACACAGAATAGCAACAGACAGTACAGCAACTGCATTAGGGTTTTCCCACAGTTTAGCATACAGTATAATGCTTGATCGTTTGAAGTTTCACAAAGAGTATGAATGGTAAGCGCTCACAGAACTTAAGGATCGAGAAAAACTCAATGTGTCTGTCCTTACAACATCTCCAAGTCTTATGGCATGTAAATGAATGAGAAGATACACTTAATAGAATTATTACTTGGAACAAATCATGGGTGCATCACTGCCAACCTGAATCAAAGCATGCTTCAACGCAATGGAAGCATCCCAGTTGACCTTCAACCAAAAAGCTCAATGTTATGAATAAGCAATCAACTGGGAAGGTTATGCTGACCATGTTTTGGGACTGTTAGGAGTTCCACTTTGTCCTTTACATAACCCTTTAAAAAATACATCTAACGGACTGATACTGAAAGAAAGGGGAGGTCAAAAAGTCAGGGCTTCTTTACAAATCTACTGGACATGCAATAACTGCACCTCAAGTAGGGTGCATCATTTTGCTACAAGACAACGGCATGTGCCTGAAGCTGTAGAAAAGGGATAATTTTATATAATATTCACATAGAAATTACTGTTCTCTTTTCTGGACAGAAGCAAAATGGAGCATTCATCTTCAGAGCATCACTGTCATGTTCTAAATATTCACTGAATTGTCTGGAATTCCAAACTCAACACTTACACCTATTTAAAAATCCTAGATTGGTCAAAGTGGTGTTACTACTATAACAGTTAATAGGCAGGATATCAGAATCTCTAGCTAGTTATCAAATATGCTGGAGTACACATGGCAAAAGAGGTATTACAAGTTGGACATAAGCAAAGTTACAGAGCCCACATCCAAATAAAACACCAAAAATAAGAAAACTGCAAATGGTTATTTGTAGGACACAATTTGTGTTGTTGTTCTATCATATATATTCAACATATATTTAAATATGAAACACAGACATCGTTTTATGGAAACCCTGAATTTCTAAATTCTAAAACAACATGGTGTTTCTTGTATAGTGCTCTAAAAATCTGGCAAGACAGTGGTGATTCATAAAATAAACCTGGCCTCAAAAAAGGTCAAGTAGCATGAATACAATGGAACCTTAATATTAGGAGAAGTTATAAAATTCTTAAAAATGCTCATAATAAAGATTCATATTAGCCAAACTTTGTTGAAATATGTAACTACATGTCTGTCCCTAGCTTCCAATTACATACTCATACAACAAGGTATAAAACTTTAAATAATAATGTGTGTATGGCAGTAGTTCTTGTTCTCTGAAGTGATTATCACAGGAAATTGAAGATAACAAAGAATAATTCAGTATTCTCATCATTGTTAGCAATATCTGAACTGAAGAGTGTAAGATATTCTTAAATTTACATTATCTCTTCTAATTGCAACTGACTGCTAATCAGGAGCTGTCCTTTATGAGCTAAAGATGCACCCACTATTGTTTGCATCCCTGCAAACACAGATCACTTATACTCTGCTCACAAGTCTCACTCACACTCTGCATATAATTCGCTGCACATGCACGTGAGAATAAATATATTGACTTATATCAAATTTGATTAATGGACATGTCGTATGAAGCAGTTTCAAATCACACCTACACCTATGTACATACACTATGACATGGGTTGCTCTAAATGCCACAAATGGAACGTTTCTGATATTACATATTTAAGTTATGGTTGCGAATCAGCCTTCAAACATACCTTTAATATCCATACTATGGTAATTGCATGTAAACTACACAAGAATTCACAGCTGTTTATTTCTCTGTCAAGTGACACATTTATGTTACCACACTTCTTTATAAGATCAGGATCTGCACACCTCTACTTCTCATACCTCAACTCATTACGTTTGTCACACAGTCACAAATTGAGACTGTGAAATGAACTTCATTAACATGTATTCAGAAACAAAAGGAACAATGTTATTTGCTTGGGATCAGCTTGTGCCATATTACACCATATTTCTCTTTCTTTACTATCATAAACAGTGTCAAAAAAGTTAATCCATACTGCCTTAATATTTTCGTTCCTGATGAACTGCTGAATTCACACAGACATATTATTCCAAATTCTATATTCGTATCTATACTCTTCCACTTCAATGTCATAATTATGATTTTTCAAAATTCTGCAATCACTGCAAAGTGAAACATTGTAGCTGTTTGATGTGGCACAACCTTAAACATGTGCCTGCAAAGCTGTATTCGAAGACATCATCATCCTCCCCAGGCCAAGGAAGCACAGGAGAAAACGAAACCTATGTGACAAGGAGGAGAAGATACTGCATGGTGCAGTAGACATCTGGGTGAGGGAGTAACCTACTCAGATTTTGAATGAGAAATTTTGTCCTATACAAGGATATGGCAGAGGGGGTAAGTTACAGGACCTTTACAGACTGCTAGCCATAAATAACTCCAGAAGCAAAATGGCACATACAGCTGGTGCAAAAAGTTGTGAGAACACAGCAGCAGCTAATTAGAAGCCACTCATTACGATGACTGCGCTAGAAAAGAGCCCACATTTTATGTGATGAATTTTCCATGTATGCAACATTAGGAAACTGAATGGGTCTGATGGCTTTTTGTCACTATAATGAAGTCTTTGTTTCAATATGTTTCCAGTGTATTCTACATGTTTCCTTTTTCACCATTTAACTTATGAATTTAGAGTGTTACCCAATAGTCACATAATTTCCAACAGAATTAGAGTCGTTAATGAGTACTGAATATCAACCAAGCTTAATAACCGAACACCATCAACATGCTGGAGAAATAAGTAGCTTATCTCATCTTGAAGAAAATTTACACTTTTATGACACCAGGTCTGTGTGCTGTAAAGTGTAAGAGATATTCAAGAACAATGAAAGTAATAAGGGGTCGAGCTTTCCATATTACTTTTGTATGACAATTAGGGTGAGGAACTTTGCAACGTCAAACTCATCGCATATAAAATTTACATCAGATCTAAATGCTTGCTTTTCTGTAGGACCTACGAAGCTACAGTATATTTCTGGGAAATGCCAGTCCCCTCCAAATACATTCACATGCAAATAAATAATAGTTAAAAAAAATCACTATACAGCAATACTGGGAAAGTAAAACAGTAGAACACCAATATCACACAATGAGATGAAAAGATGGATTGGCCATCGCTGTCCTCAGCTTCTACTATCAATATGCATTACCTTGAAATTACAACTGTCTTCAAATGAAGAAGAATCTCGCTTCAGGATGGATCTCCGAGGCTCTTCAGGGAAGAGCAGCTCTTCTCGAATATAGTCACGAAATTTGGTGTCAGGAAGCCTTGTGCTCTTGGTGCGGTTAACAATGACAGAATTTCCCGTCTGGTCAACATTGTGGTCCATGCCAAAATATGCAGCCACACGATGCACCAGCATACGCTGGTATGAGGACATCTGCGGGAACTTGTAGTGGTTGCGTCTGTAAATGGGATAAAAGATTAATTTTCTTCTGACTCATACCAACTTTTCCCTGGATACTAATGGGCTACCCAAGTCATCCTTGCCTATCATGCTTCCCTGTCATACCCCAGCTCCTCAGACGTGTTTCCAGACTTCCCCTTCCCACATTCCTCCAGACAAATCATTTGTAATGAGTAATTTGACTTGTCCACAAACAATGGCAGTCACTTAAGATTTGGAAATTCACTGATAATAACTTAAAAATTTTAGGCAATATATTGTATTTATTCCTTTATTTCACTTCTCTCATTCTGAGCAGGGCACACATTTCTTCTCTTATAATTTCTGGCACTATAACATAAATGGTTGGTTGGGAGGATTTCAAAGGCAACACAATGAAAAAAAAAAACATAACATTCTTGTGTTTTAACCATTACAGGAACAAAATTATTTCCTTTAATTAAAAGGAAATAATTGATAACTTTTACAACACAGAAATAAGTAAGCTATGACACATTCAGAGTAGAAGTTAAGTTTTATTTTTTTACTGTTCAGTAATAATGATTTTGTTATTTTATTGATATCAAATTTTCATCTTGTATTGATTTTCAGTATGAGCAAATGAAAATTCTGCAAGATAAAAGCCTGTCAGTGCTGATGTGACTTAACCTTTAAACGCCGGACTTCGGAAATGGTGATAATCTTGAGCTGGCCGGAGTTTATTTAAATGCCTGCTGCTGGTGTGCATTTAAATGCCCGTTGCTACTCTGGGTTTAAATGTCTGTTCCTCTTAGGGCGCTTAAACAATTTTGAGCACTGTGTTTAAATTTAACTCAATTTTTGTGATAAATGGACGGAATTAACTTTGTGTGTATCAGCAAAATACATACTGTCACGTATAACAACGGAAGATTTGAAAATTTTTATACAAAGTGTTATACCCTATTTTATTTTATTTTATTTTATTTTAATTTTGATGCTTACTGCAAAAATGGTATCCCAGTTCTTCACAAAGTTGTTCTGCATTATAAATTCATTTCTGTTTGTAGCACTTGACGAATTTTATCAGTCCCTGGTGTCATAAAACAGATGTAAGCAATAAAATCATTTGGTCTTCTGCTAGCACTGCTTACACTTTTCAGATTTTCGAATCTTTTACTAAAGGACAGAAAAATGAAAGAATGGCTATTGAAGAGAAAGCTAGAGGGGTCCCTTCTTCAGTGCTAAGACCTTCCGTTATAGCTGCAAGGTATTATTTCCCTTTCTAGGGTCATGAACAAACAGTTGGTTTGTGGCTGAGATACAAGGTGTGGTCTGTTTTCTGTGCAGTGATAGTGAAATCGAATACTGTCGTTTCAGTTCATCTTACCATGGCAATGAAACATCATTTGGAAAATTATGAAATTGAAAGGCAACTGATATTTGATTCTGATTCGGACTGTTGCACAGAAGATGAAGATAATGATTGGGGCTACGAAGATGAGGATGATGAAGAACTCGTGCAGCCACCATCATCATCACTATCATCATTGTTGTCATCACCATCATCATGGGGACCACCACAACAGCATGGCAGAAGGGGTGTGAATAATTTTTCTGGTGGAGCAGTGGGGATAAATCTAAACAAAGCTCCACATGTGAATAAGGATTCCACTCCACTCTGTGTGTTCATGTTATTCTTCACAGGAATTATACATCTGCTGGTGGAAGAGACTAACAGATATTATCACCAATAACTCGACAGCCTTGAAGACAGACCTTCTCCACTTGCTGACATTACTGATTCCGAAATGTTTCTTTTTTTAGGGATCATTATTCAAATGGGCCATGACATTAGAGACCGAATAAGAGACTACTGGGCGACTGCTGAGCAATTTCTCACGTCTTTCTACGGTAAGACATTGAAACACGACCGATTTCTTCATATTCTTCACTTCCTTCACTTTACAGACAACAATGCAGGAATTGACAGACAAGCCGACAATTATGACTGACTATGAAAAATTCGGACTATTTCTGACACTCTAAATGACGGATATGAAAAATATTATAATCCTTCGGAGCATCTGGCCGTTGACGAAATAATTGTAAAATTCAAGGGGAGGGTTATTTTCAGAAAAATACATTCCTAAGAAACACAAACGTTTCAGAATCAAAATCTTCAAACTCTGTGATTCAGCAGGCTATACATACGACATGAAGGTTTACTTAGGTAAAGACAGAACATGCACTGACCAAGAAGTGACAGCAATGCATGCAACGGTCAGGGACCTCTGCAAAGGGTTGAGGGGGTTGGGCACAAACTGTACATGGACAATTTCTTTTCATCGCCAGACTTGTTTGACGAACTGTTTGCAAAGAAAATAAGCTGCTGCAGGACAGTCAGACCAAATCGGAAGGGCCTACCACAAGACATATGCAACAGGAGACTTGGAATGAAGAAAGGAGACATACGGGTTAGGGTGAGGGGTGACATGACAGTATTAGTTTGGAAAGACAAACGAGATGTATATATGTTGACTAATATGCACGCTCCTCCAGCAGAAGGCAATTTCTGTGATGAACACAGAAATGCCATAAAGCCTGCAATTGTTGAGGATTACAACATGCACAAGGGATATGTTGACAAAGCGGACAGGATGACAAACAGTTATTCCATCAGCCGTCGGACTTGGAAATGGACGAAGAAACTATTCTTCCATTTACTAGATCTGACGATTCTGAACAGTTTCATTGTGCTGTCATCCTGTGGTGCGAAAATATCACATAGAGACTTTCGTCTAACCCTTGTGCGCAACATGCTGGAGCATGCCGCAACGTGTCGCCCTCGCCCCCAGGGGCCCTTAGGTCGACCTCCTGCTCTTTCATCTACAATATATTGCCTAGAAAAGGCCAATCGACAACACTGGCCAAACCATTCAGACAAGAGATTGAACTGCCACGTCTGTTCTGCATGTGGGAAGAGAAGAATACACACAAAGTGCGAGAAATGTGACATGGGCCTGTGCACTCTCAGGTGCTTCAAAGAATATCACACAAAGCCGAGATTTAGTTAGATGATGCAGGGGGTGGAGCCAATACATACATCAAGCAGATAACAACAAAAAAGGTATGTACATCGAATTTTACTATATATTTTCAACATATTTATCTGCAGAATCTTTTTGTTGTTGTTCACTTAGGTATCATTTTTATTCCTCTATTAGGATTTTACTCAAGTCGGTCTGGTAATTACTACATTTAAAAATAAATATTTAGGACTGTGCATGCGCTTATACTAGCAGCGTGTGCGCGTGCTTCCACTAGCAGAGTTTAAATGCCTGACTGGCCAAAACGGGGTACTTTGGCCATGACGACCTTACTCATGACTGGCACAAACGGGGCACTTCGGCACTTAAAGGTTAATCACCAAAATCAAAGGTAATATGTTTGTGTGTTAACAGAGCAATAATACCATTCTGACTCTGTTACACTGCCCAGCTAGAAACAAAAGCAGAGGTAGCAGCAATTAATAGAATTCAGTGTTTGCTAACTGCCCACATATTACTCCCAACTTTGATTTTAATCAAAACATGAAATATAGTTAATGCTAAGCACACAATGAAGCTCACGGTCTAAATATAAGTTCATGAAAAATTGCAAAAATGTAACAAACTGCAATCAGGAAAGTGGTCAACCATTTAGCATCACCTTCCAGATAAAATGTGAATTTCAGTGGATCTCATCTAATAACCAGCACTAAACTATAGTAAACAAAATAATCAAGTAATGTGTTTAGGACTAGTACACATCAGTGTAATGAAGCCTCCAGCATGAGCATTGTCAGAATAACAGTTACTTGAGTGACTCACTTGTTGTCTTTGGCAAGGCTGACCAGTTCCTGCTCAATCTTCAGCAGCAGTATCCTGTCCTTCTGGTTGCGATTCAGTGTGTCTGCAATGAACTGCTGAAGATCAACTCCTGTACCATCCGTGTACTGCTCTGTGCTGCTGTCTACACACCAAATAATATGACATATATTTTTACTTTATCAACACCCTTCATTACAGGTTGCACATCCAGAAAAATCTTGATCGTTCACATTATACTTCACACAGTTTCACTGTAAGAACTTCATGACTTTAGAATTTCTCTCTCTCACAAATGTGCGTGCACATACATGCACACAAAATTAAGACCCATTCTGAAACTAAAAGAATAATGTATGGTCTGTCAATAAGTACTGAATCTTATCTTCTTGTCTTCTATTCAAAAATGCTAAAATTATGATATATAAATTCTTACAATCAATCATCCTGCTGTGTATTAAACTACTGGCTATCAACAGAAATCACCAACATGTACATTCAATTTCAGGTATTTTACAATGTCACTATATGTTTCAACAACCTTTGGTCATCACCAGGCAGAAATTCAAACATACAATATTCAAAATGCACTATTGATTGTTGAAACATTTTCTTTATTGCTCTGTTAGTAATGCAGTATATATCAAAACATTTACTTCTTGGCTAATTATTTTGTTTACTATTTGCCTAAATATTAACTGCCTTAAAAAATATGTCACATCTGACTTCAGTTTCTGACCAGAACTACACTGAAGAGAATATTGAAAAAAAAAAATTCCTCTGCTGCTGTTGGCTGAGTGATTTGATCCTGAGATGTAAAATGAATAGCTATTATTCTGACATTTCCACCATACACTCACTCCATTTTTTCCCATGTACATTTTGTAGTCTTCCCCTTAAGCAATATGCACTACACACTGTTCTGCATAATCTCAAATGCAGCAAATGGGTACAACCTTCAAAACAAACAATTCTCATTTTTAGCTGCAGTTTGCACACACAACGATTCTGCTGATCCAGTCTTATATATTAAATCATAATTTTGACGAATATGCAAGTGATTAATAATGGATTTTTTTGGGGGGGGGCAAAGGTTGGAACTACAATAATTATTGTAGTTCATTAGTAATGAATGAAACCCTCTCCTTGCTGCCTGGCAGTCCTATCTGTAGCTGTAAACAACTTAAAAAAATGGGGGGAGGGGGGGTTAAAGCTACCCTTGTGTAACATGCTGTGGAGGCCCTTGGGGTTGTGAGACATTTAGCTCTCACATTTTTTAGACAACTGGCTCACGGATGGCAGTGAGTTTGTCAGCCTTACGTGCCGGCCGCCCTTTACCACCCCAGTTAGATTCCTGGTACTCATTTATGTTAGAGGCTGAGTCAACCCTAGGGCCATAGTGTGGCTAGAAGGATTAGGTAAATTGAAATATCCAATGGCCTCTTTGGGAACCAAACCCGTGACCTTCTGGCTTGTAGCATAGTGCCTCAACAACTTCTACACAGTGACAGAATAATGACAGAATGGCAGGCATTGGTTTTGTATATATGTATATGCTGGATGACCTTGGGGACAGAAGAGGATATTTTTATGCCCCTCCTCGTTGGTGTCTCCACCTTATCGTGGTGAGGGGGTTTAAGTATTCCAAGGACCCTGAGAGCTATACCAGCGGTAGCGTAGCTACTGGCAGGGCCTCCCTTGCTGGACAGGTCAAAGGGTAGGCATCAGACGAAGAGTGACACCAAAAACCAAAAACTGATGCCGGAAGCAGCGTCACCAGCAGCGACTTGAAACACAGAGCAAATGATGCTTGAGATGGTTGAAGTTTGTATAGCAACAGGAGTGACCAGAGTGGTTTGAACGGCTGTTGTACTGCGATGTGAAAAGCAAATGGAAAAACTACCACATTATCACCTTTCCTGGATAGTCTCTTTCCAGACACAGAGATACCATGTATGCGAGATGTTTTCTCTGGAGACAAAACAAACTGGAGGGGCGGATAGAAGTGACCAGAAGACAAGGAAGAAGATGTAATAAGATGCTGGATGACCTTGGGGACAGAAGAGGATATTTTTATTTGAAGGAGAAAGCTTGAGATTGCATTAAGGGGAGGAACTGTTTTTGGAAGAGACTGTGAACCTGTCATCTGACAGACTACTGATGAATGAATATGGATGGTGAATTTGAAGGAATGAAGAGGGAACCTGAATAGGCTAATTTCATATTCACTTAGAGTATAGGTGGCAACACTTTTCATGACGACAGGTATTTAAGACAGAGCACAGTATATAAACAACAGCAGTCATATCAGATGCACACCTCTGGACAAGCACGGTGAGGAACTGTCCATGCTTCCCTGTGAAGATCCTTGGTGGCGTAGCTTGTGCCTCGAATTAGGGCGGCTGACGGACAGACTGTTGATGCAGCCTGCCTGTGGCTGCTGCTGTTGTTGAACAGGCGCTGGCCCACTCACAGGTATATGGTGTGCGTCAGGATCTGGAGGAGGTGACGTTTCTTCTCTCATGGCATGACTTCGCACCAGCAGCTTCACCTTGGCGTGTGACTGCAACATATACTGGAATCATGTATGGCTCTGCGAACCCATTGGCATGTAGAAGCATCCTAGTAGATAATTTCACTCATCATAATTAAGATTTAGATTAAAGACGAAGATATGATCCTGCAAGAAAGACTGGGATGTTAAGTTTAGCAGTGACAGTGAAGAAAGATGTGTTAGTCACCTGCACACTACCCAACAATCACTGGACAATTAGAATTTGAATATACATGCAATATTTAATTCCTGTATATAAAGGCATTTGTGGGTGAACAATATTAAAATGGATCTTAGAGAGAGAGGCTGGGATGGTATGGATTGGATTGATCTGGCTCAGGATACAAACTAGTGGAGGGCTCTTGTGAACACGGTAATGAACCTTTGGGTTCCATAAAATGCTGGCAAATTCTTGAGTAGCTGCAGATTTGGCAGCTCCTCAAGAAGGGCTCAGCTCCTTAAGTAAGTAAGTATATAAAGGCATTCAATCATGTTATATTTTAGCGTCCTGTTGCACTGATTTATGTCCATGATTTACTCTGACCGTCTTACAGTGCATACATTTATTCACCTTACTCTTCTCTCTTGCACTACATGTTTCGGCACTAAAGTGCCATCTTCAGGCGCTTTTCGATGTACGTCGAACTACTGCATTGCATGCCCTGTTGTCTTTATACTAAAATAACTAAAATATATATTCGCCATATATATTGCTAAATTTTAAATATTAAAAATGTTAAAACTGTTCAGGATTTGTTATCCTTATGTCGTATTTCAGTATGCGAGTCACACCTAACTTCTTCTGTCAGAGTATTCTTCCTACTTTCATGTGTATTGTGCTTTGTGTTGTGTCTTACTCCTGTGACTGCGTATGTTTTACTGCTGGGCCTGCTGGGCTGATCTGGCTGAGGATACAAACTAGTGGAGGGCTCTTGTGAACACGGTAATGAACCTTCAGGTTCCATAAAACGCTGGGAAATTCTTGAGTAGCTGCAGAATTAGCAGCTCCTCCAGAAGGGCTCAGCTCCATGAGTGAGTAAGTAAGTAAGTAAGTAAGTAAGTAAGTATGTGCTAGTGTGTTACGCATAGCAAACTGTTAGGTGAGGCATCATTTATGCTGATGTGTGTATATAGAAGTTTTTCTTATAAAAAGAAGTAAGAATGGATCTGAAATTTATTATTCCATGAATAGTCAATTCCATGACAGAAGTGATGAATATGAATATCAAATGGAACTCCATTCTGCTCAATCAGCAACAATAATGTTGCAAGAACTCCTGATCTTTCAAGTGATCATCATCATCATCAGTAATCTGTCAAGACGACAGGTCCACAGTCTCTTCCAAAACAATTCCTCCACTTAATGCGATCTAGAGCTTTCTCCTTCAAATGACAGTATCCTCTTCTGTCCCCAAGGTCATCCAGCATCTTCTTATGTCTTCTTCCTCGTCTTCTTGTCACTTCTATCCGCCCATCTATCTTTCCTTCGATAGCTTCTTTTAGAAGGCAGTTTCTGCGTAAAACATGACCAATCCAATTAGCCTTCCGTTTTCTTATTTCATGTAGGATATTCCTCTGCTCACTGACTCTAATTAACACTTCTTCATTTCTCACATAATCGGTCCAACTGATCTTCTCCATCCTTCTCCAACACCACATTTCGAAACTTTCCAGATGTTTCTCATCTACTGCCCTAAGTGTCCATGTTTCAGCCCCATACAGAGCTATGCTCCAAATGTAGCATTTCACTAGTTTCTTCCTCAAATTTAAGTCCATTCAAGTGATAACAGCAAGATTTATGTGAGGAAGTTGTCATCTGGATTAAAAGTGCTGAATGTAAGCCAGTGGTATCCTGATAAATTGTCATATACAGTATGGAGAAACAGATAAGCCCTAGATGGATGAGGAATGTCTTCTCCCTGTCCTAAGACAGAAATTGTGAATGCCTCAAAACTACCAACACATTGGCTGAGAACCATTTCCATAGTCTGAAAACTGTTCCAGTGTGATTTCCACTTCTATACACAAAAAGGAATATATGATGCACAACTGCATGCAAATGTGAACCCACAGGATTATTTAAAAGCAGCATCAGTAAGTGCCCACATGGAGCTCTGAGAAGCAGTGGGTCTGGAATGGGGTCCAGTCAGGCTTGTGAGGATAACTGAGGAGCTATTTCAAGGAAATAGTGGCTCTGGTGTAGAAACCCGAGATTAACTTCCATTTGGATTCATTGCACTGACCACGCGACACCCTCTACCTGCTAAAATTGGCACTAACTTCGCTGAGAAGCAGCGGTAGCTCAGCTGGAATAGTTCACTTGCAGACTAAAACTATGGAGTTTTTTTTTTGTGGATGGAAGCTCTGGAAAAGGATGAGTACTATACAGAACACTGGCTGCAGCAACAAAACCTCAATAAATCCAAAGCCCATCTGCACCTGCACGTTCAGTTCAGATATGAATCATCATTATGCTACAACTTAGTACCTAATCAGGAGACATCTGTTAAGAGCACATTTATTCCTTTGTGAATTTCCAACTCTTAGTAAGTTGAAAATCCTGGTAGCAGTAACAGATTTATAAATCTGAATGACCAACAGCAGTAAGAAAATGCTTAAATACAGCAATCTCTTGCCAACCATGTATTTCAGCGCAGCTGTAGTTTTCCACTAGTATCCAAGTTCCATCAGCTGCAGTATTTGGTTTTATGTATCTGCAATTTCTAATTTTTCTGCACACAGAAAACAGCATCAAAAGCTCAACATCAAATGAGGGTAGAGCCATAGTGCCCAGGTGAATACAGTCCACAGCCTCACAACCTATTCATATAAGATTACAATTAATGTTAGTCTACCTTCGGCACCTAGGTCTTCCAAGCACTATATTCCCTTCAGGTTTTCAGATTAACATTTTATATGTATTTAGGCTTTGATGAGTGTTAACAGCAGTTGCAGTTCCCTGAACTCCCAATTTTCAGTAAGGTTTTGGTCTTGCTAACCATGGAATTTTTCAGGAATGTAACCTTACAGCAAACAAGGGATTGCTGTATTATAATTCTATATCAGAATTCATCAGCTGTGTTTCCTTTTACTACACGAACATACTAAATGATACATAACCTATTAAAAACATGGAATTCGTTATTTTCACAAATACAGCCATTACAGTTCATGGCATAGCCACTGTGATTACTAAAACATATAGCATTAAGTAGCATAAATCATAAACGTCCCTAAGCACCAAAACTTCAAGGCCAACAGTGGGCATGAAGGCAGAATGCATTCTATGCTTCAGCACTACATGGCGGTCCAGTTTTCAATTTTGATTCCCTGACCACTTTATTCTTCATAACCACTAGATAATGGGCCGAATGGGCCCCATAGGTGGTCTGGTCATGGTGGTGAAGATGAAAATGTTTGCATCAGGTAGGAATCAAGTCTGTTCCTTCAACCCATGGCAGCCATCCCAGCTTTTACAAACAGTTATTACAGGAGAGTACTATCTTCTGGGATATAACACGGTGCAGTCCACTGAAAGTCAACCGATGTTTAGGGAGGAACATATCACTTCCATTTTCAGGGTAGAATAAGCTGAGCAAGATACCAGTGTGAAAGCAGGTGACAAGCAGAGTGTCCTTCTGATGGACTACATGGTGCTATATCCCAGAAGATAGCACTCTTCATAACCACAGCAGTGAGAACCTAAAATCCTACAAATTATTGCAGAATATAATTTTGTGCAATAAATTTTTATTTTACTGTGTTTTCAACCGTTCAAAATAATCAGACCAGAGCAGGTGACTGTAAGATTTGAGGATGTCACAGTGGCAGCTGTGAATAGTATAGACTTCTGGGTTCTAATATAGTGCAATTTGGAGAAAACACAATGTTTCCAGGGAACATGCTGCTTCCTTCTTCTGGGTCAAACAGTACCAGCAGAAGCAGGCTTGCCACCTGCTTCCACTGGCTTCTTGCTGACTCTTCAACCCATAAGATGGAGGCAACATATTCTCCTGAAGAGTTGGGCTTTCTCAGAACTAAACAGCATTAAAATCCAGAAGATCACATTCTTCGTGTGATTCTCACATTCACACCTGAAATAAATATCTGTATTTCAGAAATAATTGTGATTTTGTAACCATCTAACAGTGAAGGCTGCATTACCCTGACTCTTGGGGGTGGTGGTGGGGACTTCTCCTCAACATCCAGGCTGTTTGTTCTAGAGAGGCCTGCTCTCTGTTGCTGCTGTTGCTGTGTGTCATCCCTGACCTCCACTGTCTTGTGCTTGTTGGACGTTTGATTGCAAGACACTGGACTGGGGGTGCTGTTATCGCCCTGGCAGTGGCAAGACGTTGATATGGCAGCACCAGGGCTGCTGGAGGGGCTTGACATATGTGGGACTGAATCATCTTCCTCCAACTCTTCAAACTCTGCCTGCAAACAACAGAGCTCTTCTGGTAGCTATTTCCTTCACAGCCTACATTATTGTCAATATACATATAACACTCTGAAGCCTTCATTGATTTATTCCATGATAAATTTCTGGCTACAGAATAGACAAGAATAAAACTGTCTCCTCTTATAGGTCATATATTATAATTATGCAACAATTTCCTGGACAAACTCAAGGAAGGATGACCTTTCATGCACATATCAATTCCTACAACTGAACTACACATTCATCATCATCATCCATTTTCCCTACCTGCCCTACTCAACCTATCTCCCTTCACTTTATGCCAGTTTCTGACAAATGAAGCAGAACCAACTTCAAAATTCTGCCATGCAGTTCATATTGTAAGCATGATTTACTGAAATATTCCAAATGTGTCACAGCTGTTGCAGAATTCTTATTTATAAATGACAAAATAGGCGACAATTATAGGATCATGATCTTTGGCCTGTCCTGACACTAATTTTTTGGAAATTATGAATCACATAAGATTTTAAACATGCAGACCTTTCAAGTTCTATATTGTCATGCAGCTAACACAGATAAATGTTACCTGACTCATCTGTATTAAGTACTAAACACAAGACATGACAGTCTCTGCATGATATCAAGCATATTTAAATTAACTGTTATGGAATAAAATTAAGTATTTTATGACTACTAACATATTTAAAGAAGATAATAGTACAGACCTTTAGATAATTTGATGGATATAAATGCAGTACTGCAATTCTTGGTAGTCATTTAGTTATGTGTACCTGTTTGGAGAGTGTTCGTTGAGCGCGGAGACTTCGCTCCATGGTGGGACTGCCTGGAGCACTGTTGGATCCGTTGTGAACAACTATACTGGGAACTGTAACAGACAGCGTCTGGTCAGGGTGTGTATCCTGCACAGGGATGGATAATATAGTAAGAGCTGACTAACAGAACCATAAAACAGAAAGCACAGTTTGACAAGGATTTAAAGCACGGACATTAGGCAGTGCTAAATTATTCTGAAAATGTGCAGAAAAATAGAACGGCAAACACAAAACTAACATAATCTACTTTTTAACCTTATTTCTGAAAAATCAGTCCAACCCAATTGCACCTATAGCCATGCTCACTGTAGAAACTTTTAGGTTAGGCTAGAGAATCAGATGATTCTGAAAGTTTGTAACAAGACAGATAAATATGAACAACATAACTCCATTTCCATGATAAACTAAAAATAATTAAAGCTGTATAAATAAAACGCATACAGTTTTTCATTTCATTCTAATTTACACCACAATATGGCAAAACAAAAAAAAAAAGTGACAAAGTACATGAAAGTTATGGAGGCACCTACAGCTTCCATGTAAAACCAGCACCTTGTTTCTTTCCACCACATATATAATCACCAATTTCCCCTGCAGTCACCTTACTATTGATATTCAGATTAAGTGCCATGATGTCAGTTCTAGCAGAACTATGACGGGTGGCAGTGATCTTCATACACTGGTACACTTCTGGTCAAACTGACCAGTTTGTTACATCTATGATCTTCCTGGATTCAAGCTATATAAATTCCTTTATACCAAAATAAAGTCTCAATGCAATTAACTGTAGTTCAAATACACATGTGCAGACAATTTCCAGATCAAGTACCAAGAAATCATACCAATGTGCCCACTATATTAGAGATGTAACCTAAACTGGGTAACATGGTACTTTGGTGTAAATCCCAGGATAAACTTGGGGACCAACTGACCCCCAGTTGCTGCTTCTAATATTGTGAAATATCCTGAGTATGGTCATCTAGGATGTGACACTAGATAGTTGGTAAATGGACACCAACATTTTTGAGAAATCTGCTGCCTCATCTTCAGAGTAAAAAGGATTATTTTACCCTGAAGATGGAGGCAGTAGGCTCTTCCAAAACACTGTTATTCATCTACCAAATGATAAGATGTCACATCCCAGAACACTAATTCTGTTACTCATTGCCAAAAAAGCTTCAAGTTCCACATAATGGTGCATCTTTGTCAATATCAGAACTATGAGGACTATTCAGAAAGTAACCTCTGGTGAGCTGTTAACAAATGAACAAGGAGAAAAAATGTATTATATACAAAAATACATACTTAAGCTATTTCTCAACATAGTCACTGCCGGAATTGAGGCGCTCATCATATTGGGAAATAAGCTTCTGTAAGTGTGTGTCAGAGAAGTCTGTCGCCTGTGAGCTCAGCTAAGTTTTGACACCTTCCATCGACTCCTCATTATTGTTGAAGCGCTGTTGTGATCACAACCAGTTCTTCTGGTAGGTAAACACGTGGTAGTCGCTTGGAGAGAGATCAAGCCTGTAAAGGTGGTGGTCAAACAACACCCAATTGAAATGATCCAGCAGTGCTTGAGTGTGACCAGCTGTATATGGATGTGCATCGTCACTGATGAGCACTATGCCAGATTTCAACATTCCACGCCATTTGCCCTGAATGGCCCTACATATCTTCTTTCATGTTTCACAGTACACTACTGAGTTTCACCAGCAGCACCCCTTTCCTGTCCCAGGAAACAGCTGTCATTAGTTTTCTGGCAGACATTTGTTTAAACTTCTTCAGCTTGTTTGGTGAATGTATGTGCATCCACTGCTTTGACTGCTCTTTGGTTTCAACATTCACAAATGAAAACCGGGTTTCATCATCTGCCACTCATACGATGTGATTGAGAAATTCAATGCCATCTTTGTGGTATAGCTCTAAAAGAAGTCAAAGTCAAAGCTGAAGCCATTCTCTGCATTTTGTGCACAACTGTGAGCATTTTCAGCACCCCATTTTGCCCAGAAACTTGTGATGATGGCCTAGCCTAGTTGTGACAATCTCATACAGACCAAAGTGTGAAATTTGTGGAAACTTACACAAAAGTTCTGAAATTGTAAAGTGCTGTCTTTCACAAATTTTTGGTCAACACTCTGAATAAGATCAGCACTCATTACACATGGCCAACCACTTCACTCTTCATCATGAGCATTTCTTCATCCATCTTTGAACATTCTACACCAGTCTTACAGTTCCTTCACTCATTACATTTTGGTCATAAACCGCACATAATTCATGATTGATTTCTGCAGCATTTATGTTTTTAGGGTGAAGAAAGTGGATGACAGTGTGAATTTCATAGCTTGTGGGATAATCAATCAGAGGACACATCATAACTCACTCTGTAGAGACAAGAGCAAACACTAGGTGACAAGTTATGTGATGGTTTATGGGGCCATGAACCATGTGATGCTACCTCATATGTGAGCTCTCCCCTCCTCCTACATTAGTTGCCTAAAATAAAAGGAGGTTACTTTCTGAATAGCTCCCATATACCTGTCTTTTTTCTAAATAAAATACCTCTAAAGAACCATGTTTCAACCTACAGAAGGAACTGTTCATAAGTAACTTAATTAGTTTACTAATTACATATAAGTTTTTCATTTAAGTAGTCTGGAAATGTCACCATGATGAATATATCTGCAGAGACACCCCATTCACAGTGTTCAGAAGAGCCTATTACTGCAATATATACAGTTCACAGCTTCGCTTCTCATTTTGAATATTACCTTCCCAGTTATACTCAGGTCCCTGAAGTAGTGTCATCCCTTAAGATTTACTGGTCACAATTTTGGTAGTACCTCATTTCCCCATGTGTACCTCATGTCATCCTAATCTTGTGCACTTTGATTTAATATTTCTAACAGTATTAGATGACAAGTAAGACTTATGAAACTCCTCATTATGCAGTTTTCTCCAGTTCTTAGTAACAAATACTCTCTCAGTACTGTGTTCTCAGTCACCCTCAATCTGCTCTTCCCTCAGAGTAGGACACATAATATAAAAACAGAATTTAGCTTTGGCTGCTAACAGCAACACAGTAGCTCTTTTTAAAGTGCAACTGCATCCCTGCGGAGCACTTGTTAAAATCTGTCTGTATGAATGACAACTCGAGAATCCCTTAACAGATCTCCACAAAATTTCATATTACATAATTTTACCAAAAAAAAAAAGGGGGGGGGGGGCCATTTCAATTTTCGTTTAGATTNGTTTAGATTAGACAATTTTAGTGATCACTTTACATGCAGACCTATATGCACTTCTGTGCACATCTTGAGCAAAAAATGTTTCAAAAAAAGTTGGAGAGAATAATAACACACATTTTAATGTTCAATGTAACCTTTCCATATATATTATGGTTTTAGAGACAATATGGCAAAGGAGTTGCCATGCTTACATTTCTGAATATGTATGCCACCAATCAATAACGATCTTCCAGACACATGTAAATGACTAGAAAAGTGTCTCACTGCTGATGGTAGCTAAATAAAGCACCTTCCACTTGACTCTATGATTCTACATGTAGTTAGTTAGTTATTGGAGAGGGTGGGTTACCTCATGCACTTAGACCTGTATTGGTCCATTGTGCTTCCCTCTATGATTTCTACCAGTCTCTATATCCTACCGGTACTGGTGCTTACCATCAGTCCTGCCCAGCCAGCGAGACCAGCTCTACTAGCTGAGAGGTATCTATAATGCTTCCCCCATCTACCAGAGGTATTAGAGACTGCTGTTGGGTGGGAAACGTCCACAATTTGGCTCAGTGACCTCCTTTGGAGATATGAGGTTCTTTTACGTGCCGTAAAGCTATGACACAGGACCCACGGCTTAAAGTCCCTCCCAGAGGACTTGTTCCCTGAATTTTTCCGCCCTTAAAAATTCGACGACCTCCGCCGGGTATTTGAACCCGCGTACTACAAGTCATGAGGTGGGAACGTTACCTCTAGACTACGGAGGCCGCAATTCTACATGTATATAAATATACATTTCAATAGCTGAAAGTGCTGTCACAACAGTTACAGTATTAAAATTTACAATCTGTCTCTCTCAAGACAAACTAAAGAAGTAGATGCATCAGATCTGTTACAGTATTCATAATTTTCATTTAGTTCTTTTACTTTCAAAAAGAGAAGATACATTACAATTCTTTCAAGTGCAGAATTTCTTCCTTGTTTCTATATCAATTAAAGTTGTATCTAAATACATACATGTATTAAAAACTCCTGTAAGTTAAAACGTAATAATGATTTTATTTCTGTTCCTTATTTTTACAGGTACATGAACTACAATTTGGTACGTGCAAATTGGTTTTTTCTGGTATACACAATTACTTCAGCCCTTATCAGTGTCCATAATGAACATATGAAATGAATTATAATGATCAAATAATTTTATAAAAAATAAAACAGTTCTGTCCAGTGTGACTGGTGAAGATTTTTTTTTCCCTTATTTAAATTCTTCATGCCGTTACATGTTTCGGTCCTTAGAGACCATCATCAGAGGGACATCGATACAGTTTGGAAACCACTATTACAATAAGTGTTCCGAGTGTTAAAATATATATACATACAATGCTGACAATACACAAATGGGTACAAAGTCCAAAGTTTTCACAACTACAGCGGCAGTCTTGATATATTACAACTTTTTAGAAATTTTGTTAGTTAAGTTAGAATTTATAAACCAAATAGGTTCATGTCCTCTCTCATATCACCTCTCCTGATGTGACGGACCAGAATGAAACAAATCAAATTGATCAAATAATTCTTTGTAATGTTTCATTTTTATCACAGACTCTAATGCTGCAACCGAACAATCTCTACAAACTCAAACAATGGTGATAACACCCATGACATATTGTCAATAATTGCTGTCTCTATAATATATTAATACTTACAATATGATGAAAATGCAACGCCTCTCAATTAATGCAATGTTCACCACATGTCTGCTTTTGCAGAAACTCCTTAAACACAGGGTTAATATCTGAAGATACATTACACCCATCTTACTATGAAAATCTGTAGTCCTCTACTGACCATTATCTAAAACATGTTTATAACTAATAACAGACATAAAGAAAATGTTAAAAGCAGCTGAAGGTTAGGGACTCCAGTTAAAAAGACACTCATTGCTTCAACTTAAGTATTTTGGAACAATAATCTTTTCACTTTTCACATAACATAAGAACACATTTTTTTTAATTATTTTGCATTTCGATTTCTATATGGAGCAATAAGGAAACTGTGTCTGGTAATGATAATTGTGAAACATGAATGAGCTCCAAGTGTGTTAAGACACAAAATTTGGACAGGCTCCTACACAGCATTATGATGATATATGTGTAGATTATGACAGTACCTCAGAATCTATAGCATACGTGGAAACAAATTGAGCATATAGAATATAATTAATATTGTGCATATTCTGTGCACACTACACTTAAAAATATGTAAATTTTAAATTGATATATGAAGGTTTGCCATAAACAAGTCCACATATGTTCTTTTGGCTGCAACCTTCCTTAACACAGTTAAATGACAACTGCTGATAACTGTGAATCTACATAAAGCCAGCATTAATACTTTTGAGGCAAAAGGTCATGACCTATTCCTTGTAACAATACAAAGCATGTGAATGTGAGACTTTCCATTTCTTCCATAAAGGCTGAAGAAGACAGCATCAGAACTATCCATACCAAAAGTATACTTTAAACCAAGAGCCACTATTGTTATTCTTGGAGCCATGTCAATATGACCAAACAACAAAGACTGAATAAATCTGTATCAGAATAAAATGTATCATATTATTTAAAACTATTGTAATACAGGCTATGTGGCTGAATGTAATGTGAAAATGTGAACAAAACCACTGCAGTATGGAGTAGCCAGCATGGTAATATAATGAGTGTTCTGTTGATCCTGAAATCCCTATACCAGCATATGTACACTGAATAAAACCATTTGAAAATAGGTTGAGGGAAGTGCTCATGCAGAAGTTAGTACTGTGGACTGTAGGCCATGCTGCTCAACATCAGTTAAAGAAATGGAAGGAGAGAACAACTACAGCACAACTGTGTGGAGGGAGAAGTGCTCTAGAAAGAGTTAGTGAATTGTGTGGCAAAAAATTAAACTCAAGACCAACACAAGTGAGACAGGAAACAAGAATAATCTTTTTGTACAGCAAGTTAAACAAAAGAACAGTGTTGCAAATCGATAAAGATGATCTGCGTCCATGTACAATCATTGTCAATAGTGTATGTCAGAATAAATAAGATTATTCTGCAATCGGTTTGTGCTATGATATTGTCAAGAAAATAAATAGGCACCTAACCCATAAATAAACTCTATATCATAAAAATTAGAATATTTTGAACTGAAAAAAAACTGTATCAAACGAAAAATAACACTGCAAAACTCTACTGATACATACGTTCCTATAATTTTGTATTTGTATATCAATGATTATTATGCCATGACATGGATCATGTATGCATCAAACAATATCAAATGACACCATTTGATGACACTCGATTTGCAGCCCTAAAAGAAAACTGTAAGTGACTAAAGTTTGGTACTCACTCTCCAATCTTGCCATGGTTTCGAATAAGAGGGGAGGTGGTGGATCTTGCTTTTTAATATATCTGTTTTGTTTTTGGATTGGTCTACGTGTGCAGTGGTCTTGCACTGGGCAGGTTAGTTGAGCATTCCACCTACAGAGGGCAGGTCTGGCGTACACTCGGGGCCTGGTCCAAGCTAGCCAATAAAGAAATTAAATAAATAAGAAAAATAAGGGTGAGGAGAGGAGGGTTAAGAAATTAACACAAAATCAAATTCATAAATTAAAATAAACTGATACTATAAAACATGCTTTTCTTTACAACATATGTCAGACTGGGCTTATGTCTCTATTACAGGCTTATGGTGAACTATATCAGATGCATGGTTTAATGAAGATTCTTTTAAGGAAAATGTTACATATTTACACTGGTCTGCATTTGAGAAAACAATTTCTACTACCTTATTCCTCTCATTCATTTTTAAAAGAAAATGATTCAGAACACTAATTCAGTGCCTGTGTTGCAAAAATCACACATACACCTGCATTTATAATGTCCATAGAAGACCAGTATTACAAAATTGTGTACAGTATTTTGATTAAACACAATTCAGCACTCTTTAATGATGATGTCTGAAAACAACCAGTCAGCTGAATATCACAAACTTGTATACATCATACCATGATCAATGGACCCCTGAAATCATTTTCTTTCCTATTCAATATTAAAAAGTCTGAGACTGTAAGATAAAAAAATCACAGTAACGGATGCAGAAAAGTTCAAAGCTATACTAAGACATATGAATAAATCCTTCTGATACCCAGCAATTAATCCTTAATTTTTTTTTAATTCACTTAGTGGGGGGTGGAGTCCAACTGGGTCCACTTGGCACAGCACCCACTGATTGGCCTATTGTAGCCTGCCCCGGGTGATTATGATGATGGAGAATTTGGTGGAAGGAAGATTGACAGGGGAAACCGAAGTACTCGGAGAAAACCCGCCCCAGCGCCACTTTGTCCACCACAAATCCCACTTGACCAGATCCAGGATCGAACCTGGGCCGCCACAGTGGGAAGCCAGCAACCAACCGCTTGAGCTATGGCGTAGCCAATTAATCCTTTGTTACCCATACAATTTAAAATGTTGTGTGTGTTACTATCAGCCCAGTTTCTTTCCTGCATATTTAAATTTTAAATAAGATTTTAGAAAATTAAAAGTGACAATTTTACTACATTCTACTATGTTAGGAAGAACAAAAAGATAATTATGACATATTATATTTTTCCATTAAAAAATCATGCCTCTCCCCACATCACAGATTTGCAAATATATCTGTACTCGTATACAACAGTCTATTCCAAATATGTTGCATCATGGTTCTTATTTTTATTTTATTTTTATTTAATTTGTTTATTGTTTTAAGCTGACTATTTAATGACACTGTTAGTATCAAGTCTATGTAGGGATAGGAAAATATGCTGTGTCATGTTTTAAAGATAATATAATATGGTGTATCAAAGACATAAATGCAAAACACAGTATCAAGTTCTCAGAACTGCCAATTTCTAATTCATGTCCACAATGCTTAAACATGATCAAATTCAAGAGAATAAAAGAGCAAATGAATACATTGTTTCCATCCTTGTGTGAGTCTATTGTACTTCTTGGTTACATGTATAGCAATAACATAGAAGGTCATGTCTATTCTGAGGTACATATGAAACTTCAAACACCAGCTCACAAGTGTTTTCTACTCATAGTTTTTCAGTATTCTTATGGCTGCTTGTTCACAATCTTATGAGTAACGAAATTTTACAAACATAAATTAAACTTCAAAATTTCATTCACAGTTTCAAAATTAACAGCTTTAAATGAACTTGATTGCCACTGTGTAATCATTTAATCAGTGTGCCACATGAGGTATTAAAATCACATAAGTGGGGACATTCCATTTCCGAAGTTGTGTGGTCATTCAACATTCCTTGACCCACGGTGTCACGTGTGTACCGGGAATACCTTGTGGAAGGCATTTCCACCCACAATGCACAGCGCAGTGGCCGACCACGGGTGCTTAATGATTGTAACCAGCGGCGTCTAGCTAGAATCGTCCGCGGTAACAGACAAGCAACACTGGCTGAAATCACATCCACATTCAATGCAGGAGGTACCAGACGCATATCCAGCAGGTCAGTGCAGCGCTCTTTACTCGTAGCTTCCATGGGATATGGGAGCAGAAGACCGACCAGAGTGCCTCTGTTAACACCATGACACCGGACACTGTGCCTCACCTGGGCTTGTGACGTCGCTAATTGGACCCTGGAGGATTGGAAACATGTGTCGTGGTCCGATGAGTCATGGTACCAGTTGTTTTGGGTGGATGGTAGGGTTCAGGTGTGTCGCAGACCCCATGAGGCCATGGACCCCAGTTGTCAACAAGGCACCGTGCAGGCTGGTGGTGGTTCCATACTGGTGTGGGATGTGTTCATGCGGCATGAGTTGGGTCCGCTCGTCCATCTAAATACGTCATTGACCGGTGAACGCTACGTCACACTGCTTGGTAACCGTTTGCAGCCCTTCATGGACTTCATGTACCCCCAGAACGATGGGATATTCCAGCAGGACAATGCACCGTGACATCCAGAATTGGTTCGAGGAGCATTCTGGAGAGTTTGGACGAATGGTGTGGCCACCACATTCATCCGACATGAACCCAATCAAGCATCTATGGGACATGGTGGAGAGGTCCATTTGCACCCAAAATCCTGCACCTACAAATACCAGGGAGCTGTAGGCAGCTATCCAGATGGCATGGCTCAACATCTCTCCAGAGGTCTTCCGTCCACTTGTGGAATCGATGCCACATCGAGTTGCTGCACTTCGCCGGACTAGAGGGGGTCCTACACGATAGTAGGTACCTATCCCATGACTTTTGGCACTTCAGTGTATATCCTTAGACGTTCGGTTTCCGGATACATGTCATCGTCAATTGGGGCAACATTCTTCTTAGCGGTGAATCTGTCACGACGATATACATTGTGCCGTTAGTTATACTGAAGACACCACAGTGCACAGCAGGGGTCAGGTGTGAGCAGATTATCAAGGTACATACACATGACTAATATTGCGACATGCTCTTAACCCTCGTTACCTGTAACAGTCGTGCTGGTACTGCCGCACGTGAGTACCAGGCTATGTTATCCTGGTTGACGTCATACAGACGCTAACGTGTTTTGAAGATTGGAGTAGGGTCTCAGTCAGACAGGAAGTGAGAACACCTATGACACACATGAATGCAGGTCGCTCACAGAGTGCACGGGCGCCAGCCAATAAAGATACCGTAAACTGAGAGCCGTGGAGAAGCTCACAAAATATCGCACGAGAATTGGGCCTCCAGCCAAGGGTCTCAAAATACTTGGAGATCAACAGCATCCATATCGTGGAGTGGACACCTGTTTCCAGACAAGCTTCCTCTACAGATGCAATTTGTCGAATGAATACAACAATACACTGAGGACAAGTTGTCTTTACATTAATTCTGTGGCGTGAGGCCGTGTTCAACGTCCACAACAATCACCTCTGGGCATGGGATAATCCTCATATGATGAGCAAATTTGGGTATCAAACCTGATTTAGCATCAGCGTTTGGAATGGAATCAGCGGGGACAAAGTCGTGGGTGCCTATCTGCTACCTGACAGGGTGACTGCTCAACGATACTTTTTCTATAAACTGTGCTACTAAGGCAACTTGAAAATGTGCCTCTAGCTGTGAGGAAGAGGTTGCGGTTTCGGCAGAACGGAACAATCAAGCACTATGGAAACATATCTGACAGTGGTTTAGCGTGACATATCTGGGAAGGCAGATTTGACGTCGAGGGCCGATTGCATGCCCTCTTCAGTGAACGAATCCAACTCCAACTGATTTCTTTCTATGGAGACACCTGAAGGAATACGCCGATGCAGTCCTTCCCAGGACGATAAGAATATCTTGCGGCAAGACTTCAAGCATCTGTGATAAAGGCCAATGCCAACATGTGACAACACTCGCAGCTAAGAAGGGAACACACATCACAAGACACGGTTTACACTGAATATAAGAAAAACGACCCCATAGTGGAAGAACCACACGCCAGTTTTAATTAAGACACATAAGATGAATAATCTTAACAAGTTTTAGTGTGCGAAAATTTATTATAGTTGACAAATACGCACTTCTTAAATAATTTTAAAAAGATTTATAAAGGCAAGCAATAAAATAGATTAGCGTCATTAGGGCACCTGATGATGGCACTATGTTGCCGAAACATGTCGTAAAGTAACAGGTGAAATTGAGTGCACTACAAGACGGCCACTGTATAATGGAAGAAATTCAGTGCAACAGGATGCTAAAATACAACATTATGAATAAACACTGACGAATTACGAATTACTACGAGGGTCGTACTGAAAGTCATGAGCAACAATTTTTTGTAAAATAACATGCTTCATTACTGACAAATCAAATACACCACCTCAATCTACAGACCTTTCTTTATTTTTCCAAATAATCGCCACTTCTTTGTACACATTTCTCCCCACTTTCTGGGAGTCTGAAAATTCCCCTCCTGTAAAATTCCGTTCCAGCCATCCGAAGACACTGACGCACTGCTTTTTGAATTGCCTCCCTTGTCTCAAAACGTTGTCCATGCAGCTGATCCTTCACAAATCCGAAAAGATGGTAGTCGGAGGGTGCCAGATCAGGGCTATAGGAGGGGTGTGGGAGAACTTCCAACCGCATCTTTGCAATTGCTTCCGATGTGACCTTTGTGGTCTTCGGTCAATAACCGCAGGACCCAACGAGCACAAACTTTCCTATAGCTCAAGCTTTCAATCATCTCCTGTACTGCACTGTGCCCTATTCCAAATTTTCAGACTAGTGTGTCCACAGTCACACGCCTCTCATCTTGAATGATCTCATCCACTCTTTCCTTGTTGTGTTCAGTTGAGGCTGTTCGAGGACGACCGCTCCGAGGCTAATCTTCGATGCTGGTGTTCTCATCTTTCAAACGTTTCACCCATCTTCGAACACTGCTCGCACCCATGCACACACTTCCATAAGCACGCTGAATTCAGAAAGCAGTGCGTCAGGGTCTTCAGATGGCTTGAACGGAATTTTACAGAAGGGGAATTTTCAAAATCCCAGAACGCTGCGAGAAATGT